ACCCTTTACTTCGCTACTGTAGAGCAGACGTTCTAAACACTGCGTCACATAGGATATTTTTGCTTATATTTTGACAATAGGCAGGTAATGGACGAGAATAATCCAATCATTTCGGAAATTAAATCTGACCGACTCCGGTAGGAAAAATGTATACAGTGAATAAAATCATTAGCATCTTGGCGTCGGAAGCAAATTAAAATTGGTTGGGGGGGGGGGGTTAAACCAAATAAGGTAAGCCACAATTCTTAATCCCTTTTTTCTGTTTATCTTTTCAGACGTGGGCTGGGATTGAGGGAAGGGATAAGCCCTCTCTAGCACCACGGCTGCAACGCCTATGTGTAGTGTGGACCAAGACACTCCCTGGTATTCAAGAGGTCGAGTGTCACCTTTTCTTAGAAATATGATTTAAAAAAAACTATGGATTTCAGTGATTTAAGATTTGCAATATAATTAGTAAATTTAATCACACAATATAAAAAATACACAGACCTGGAACCAAGCCCCATTGACTAAAATTTAAGCAACGTATATCTGTCTAAGCATAAACCAAAGAAGACCGAGTACGACATTTTTTTCTTATTTATGCATGATCAAGAAGCGATGTGTTTATGTCTTATAAAACAAATATTTGGTCAGATTTGTTCAGATGCTGCAGAATGTGTTTTTACTCTTTACACGTAAGGGCAAGCATAAATTACTTAAGGTAGAGATTGATAGCTTGTCAACAAAAAAACTACCCATTGAATTTTTCTGAATTTTTTATATGTTTGTGTTGAGTCCTTGTTCTAAATCATATCAAAAATTCAAGGCAGGTCATCGGGCTAGTTTTAGAGAAATTTGACAATTTTAATATAGCCTTCATCAACCACCGAAGAGCTGAAATAGCAGGGTAAAATAATATAAGAATATGATATGAAAAGGGCTGTAAATTTTTTATTGCTATATCAATTATCATTTGTCTTATATGAATTCAAACATCTGTCTGTATGAATTAATATTTGACATCAATCTTAAATTTATCATGCATTGTAAGCGAAAAACAGAATTACATTTACCAAGATGCATGGTCAAATTAGGTTAAAATATTGCCTATTCATTGCACAAAGTCTCACACTTCTGCTTACACTGTGAAAAAATTACCCATCAAATTTCTTTTTTTTATTGCATATTATAGTTAGTCTATAAGTGTCTTAAATTTTAGAAAAAAATCATACTACATAATGGGGTTTAAATTCAACCTGGAACAATTTTATTATCTTACACCCTACCCTACCCCCTTCCTTTAGAAGGATGCACTTTTGAAGAATATGGTGACTAAGAGGTATTATCAAGAATTTATCAAAATATTTCACAGAAAATGAGTAAATTCTTTGTAATATTCTTCTAAATTACATTTCGTATCACAAAATCAATTTATACATATGTACACCTAGACACATGTTGCCCTGGTTGACCTTTTTGCACTTATATTAAAAAAGATAAGAACTTTTCCTTATATCGTTCAAATTGACTTTGATAGATAGAATTAATCAAAATATTTCAAAGGAAATGAGTAAAATTCCAAGTAATATTCTTCTAAATTACATTCTATATCACAGAAAACAATTCATACATGTACACTTGGACACATGTTGCCCTGCTTGACCTTTTTGCACTTATATTAAAAAAGATAAGAACTTTCCTTGATATCGTTCAAATTGACTTTGTAGATTTATTATACATATGATTCTTGGATGAATTATCAATGACAATATGTTTTGACCAATTCTGTTCATAAGTAAACTGGTTTTATTATCTTCCTTTGACAACAATAGAATGATTAATTTCACTTTTAACAATTCCATTTTTATTCCAAATACATGTACAACATAAATAAGAAAACCAAGTGATTAAGAAGTTTTGAACGCAGAAACAATCCACAGCATGTTATCCTTGTTTTAAAAATATTCAGATAAAAATGGGTTATGTATTACACTGTTAAATGAAGACTGGCTGGTCATCAGTTGTCAGATATTAATACACTAAAGCATCACATGGTAAAAAGTGCGGGAAAATAGGGTGATTTGTTTATCATTACGTACATACAAAAATAATGTAATAATTTACAAAAAAAAGCATACAATGAATTAGAGGTAATATTTTGTAACCTTAAAGTATAGATTTTGCAAACAGATTCATAAAAGTTGGAGGAATCCCACCATAAACTGTATATGATACTGTACAATTTTTAAACTCATGATGTAGTTCAACAAAATAAAGTGAATACATTCAGTACATGTACGGTAATAGGATAAACTTGCTATTTTGCTTTTTGTCTTATTGGCTAACAAAGATCAGTGTAAACATGTATGTATTTTTAATTGCCATCGTATGCAGCCAGGTGCGTCATGTTCATGGATCCTGACAATTCCGTTGTTTTTATGTCAATACAACAAAGGTGTTCTTTCACAAGGTGATCTGCAGTTAGCAAAATTCATTCTGTATATTCAGATTTTGAAGCACGTCTTATGGTGTGATTTGTCCGTTCCTCTTTACCGTCTCCTTCTGATAGTTCTTTTTCTGAACAGAACAAAATATTTTAATACAATAAGAATGAAAATACATGTTTTACTTCTTTCTTACCCTGCAAACATAGTATGACTATGTCTATATGAATATAAGACACTTCTGAGATACCTTTTTTATATAATGTCATGAATTTTTTAAATTAAATGCAAATTAAGCCGGTCTCATTAATCTGGGCACTTTTGCTCTTAAGGAAATTATCTGGATTAATGAATTGTCTTAATTAAACAAACTGGTATATAAGGATAAAGATCAATTATTTTAGTTTCTAAATGTAGGCCACACTCTAAGGCCAAGACCATGGGGTTATATGTGGAATTAAAATACTTTCTTTTTACATCTTATTCCATTTTTTAAATTCAGTTTTGTCCCTATATACCTTATTGATATCCAATATTCTTTTGTAACACTGCAGATGACACTTGATTAGCCAAGGATCCTATATTTCCATGGGATCTGTAACATGATGAAAATAAAATAAAGTAAATAGCTTGATCTATTTAAAACATATTGTGAAATTTAGGCCATACCAATAAAATTTTTTGTTCGTCGGACCCGCGCGCTCATATTTAAACAGAACTATACAAATAATATTAATTTAAAATCCCCACACCATGGGAATTATGTGCTGTTTTCTTTTCCATTTCCGCTCTATTTATCCTACTTTTAATCTACTTACTCTGCAAATCAGAAAAAATATAATTCTCCGCTCCAATTTTTTCATGCCCCGCCTAAAAATTTTGCCTACAATAAAGTAATAATATTATTATTTGACCGCTAGCCCGTTTGTACTTTTTTCATCAAATGTCCGACGAAGAAGAAATTAAATTGGTGTGGCCTTATTAACAATTTTGATTTATTTTGCAAATTTAGCTATGATAATGTGAAGAGGTCAATATTGTTAAAAAACCATGTCACTTACAAGTTTTTTAACAATAATGACTTCTTCATATTATCATATTACCAATTCTTTGATGCTTTAGTTCAAACAATTTCATTCAAGTTAGAAAACATCTTTACATTTTACAATTTTTTTGGTAATTCAGTTTTGAATTCAATTTACAACATGCCTTTTTATATGTTTATATACAAGCATTTAACCATACATGTATTTAAGTCAATAGAGCACCTACATGTAAGTAGTGATGCAGGGATCTCCAGTTAGATTCTCAGTCCAGCCATACATGTTCCTCATTTCCTGACACAAAAGTATGCCACTTTATGTTCAGTTTTCTGTAGCAGATCTGGCTTGAACTTTCCTGAAATATTTATATGATCTTTGAGAAATTACTGACTTAAGAAAATGCTTCTATATGTATACAATAATACTGTATGTACATTATGGTGTTTACATTAAAAATACAAGGACTAAAAATCATAAATTCAAATTTTTAATACATGTATTATAAAACACCTCCTTTTTACCACCCCCTTGAAAAAAATTCTAGATTTTCCCTTATACCTGTGCAAGTGTAAATTGAAAGGAAAAAATACAAACCAATGGCCATTTTGGAGGTGATGTAAAAAGCACCATTGACATTCCTCTTTCCAGGTGACACTTGATTTGGTCACATTATTTCAGCAGAGAAAGCTGAATACACTGTCTAGTCCATAGCTTGCTTCACCTGTAGTATTAAATATTTCTTTTATAATCTATGAATATGATATCTATTTATAATCAGGACCCTTTTGAGCATTAAAAAAATACATACATAAATTTATTACATGTACATAAATATTACATAAGGCTAAAAAAAAGTCTTGTTTCCTCCTACAAGACTGACCTTATTTTTTGTCACTTGATCCTAAAGCTGTTTCTTTTTTTTTCAATGCAACTTTTTACAATTTGCATTTTATTTCAAAAAGACAAAAGTTTCGCAAATAAATGTCCACTATCATTTATAAAAGGGGTTATAATAATTAAAAAGCACCTGTCATCCAAAGCAGAGAAAGTTTACACATTTCTGCATTTGAACAATTTAAGCAAAATATGTTTTTCCATTTTTTGATCTGAGTAACTAAACACCACCTCGTGTGTTAGGCACAGATAAGTATGATTACTTTACATTTTTTACCAATCCGGCCTTTATCATGTTCTGAGATGTCTGGTTTTATTCTTCTATTCTACATGTAGAAGTTACAGTCTGGTCATGAAATAAGTTTTAATTTTTAGCTAAATAAAACTACTTTAGGAAGGTAAAAAAATCTATGAAGGTTATTGGTAATTGAATCTAAATATACTGGTTGTACCAGACCTGTGCGTAAACAAACAAGCACCATAGGCCTAGTCATGATCGATATACTAAGTCGTAAATATTCACCTTATGTACCTGACACGGACACAGCATACAAAAAATCTGTTCTGTAAAAATTTTTCTTCTTCCTTCATACCAATTAACATCTGTAGGGTCATGATCTTTAAAATGTCTAAACAAAAAACGTCAAGCACAGATCGATACCGGTGTACCCACGTGGTACTGCAGTGGGCACTGGACAAGGAGTAGTTTCATCATAATTATGTTCTTGGTCGGTTTCAGTCTCACTTCTATTTTGATTCTCATGAAGATGCTTCAATTTCGAGAACTGTAAAGATTTAATATGTAGGGCAAATTTGTCTTTGAAATAGAGGATATTTCTCGATTGCTTCGTCGGCCATCTTGTAGCATAGACAATAATGTGTAAATGGAGACTTTTATTTGACGGCGTTCCGGAATCCGGAAAAAAAAACACGTGCAAATATGCGAATTCTTTCTATCACGTGATTGCTATCGGTCTCTACCTTAATCCAACTTTTATTTTGTAAGAGACATTTTCTGTCATAAATGATGTATTTTTTAAGGCCGTTTAAGGCTTAAGGAAGAACGTTTCCAATTTTAGAAACAGCAGGTTTATAAATTTTAAAAATAGAAACATCGAGTCTGTAACACTTTTTATACTTGATCATGTGATCCAGTTTGAGCCAATCAGATAGCTGGAACAATACAGAAAAATAATAATATACAATTATAGCCTTTTGATGAGGTCAATCCCTCTATATATAGACCTTAGAGAAAGCATATTGACCGAGCACGAAGTGCGAGGTTGATATGCTTTCTCTAAGGTCTATATATCGAGGGATTGTACCGAATCAAAAGGCTACAATTGTTTTATTATTTTTTATTAGTTAATAAGAAGTGTCTTAAAATCCCTCTTTAAAATACTCAGTACCTTCTCATACAAGGCATTGTTATGTCATTGCATTATGACGTCACAGTAATGAAAACCAGTTGCAGTATCTGTTTTTAGAAACATCCAGTCTATAAAGACTATTGTGACGTCAGCACTATTGTTGCTTCACAGAAGAACGTTTCCAATTTTAGAAAGACTTAATGAGTAATGAGTTTTATTATTTTTCTGTATTGTTCCAGCTATCTGAGAAAAATAATAAAACTCATTACTCATTAAGTCTTTCTAAAATTGGAAACGTTCTTCTGTGAAGCAACAATAGTGCTGACGTCACAATAGTCTTTATAGACTGGATGTTTCTAAAAACAGATACTGCAACTGGTTTTCATTACTGTGACGTCATAATGCAATGCCATAACAATGCCTTGTATGAGAAGGTAATGCGTATTATAAAGAAGGATTTTAAGACACTTCTTATTAACGGATAAAAAATAATAAAACAATTGTAGCCTTTTGATTCGGTACAATCCCTCGATATATAGACCTTAGAGAAAGCATATCAACCTCGCACTTCGTGCTCGGTCAATATGCTTTCTCTAAGGTCTATATATCGAGGGATTGACCTCATCAAAAGGCTATAATTGTATATTAATCGGCAATAGTCTTATTGATAAAATATAGCGGTATTGATCACCCGGAATTTAATTTCAAAGAAATGTAGCGTAAATGAATTGAAATTTTTCGCAATGTAGCGGTAATGTTGACCTCCCCAAAGATATAGAAATTGCAGGATCCAAATACAGGCAACTATACATTATTCTGGGTCAATACTTACATTGAATAATATAAAACACTGTCAGATACTGAGTATTTACTTTTATACCATCTATAAAATGTTCAATAATTGTTGATTTGATTACATTTCCCTTAAATCTTAATGTGTGATATATTTTTTTCTGAATAAAGCTAAAGTTTCTGAGATTTCAACCTAACGTATATTTTTAATTATTGAAACATCGCGATTCACTTCTTAATGCGCGATCTTTATAGCAACATTTTAGTCGTTTTTTTTTTTCTTTCAAAAAATTAGTAATTGGAGCTTTCTTTCACATTTTTTATAAGAATTTATTTTTAGATATATAAACTTTAGGAAGGACACAACTATCGTACGATAAAAGGTTTAAAATAAATTAGCCTTTTTTTTTCTTGTAGATTTATACAATGTAGTACATTAAAAACAAAAGCTCATATATACATGTAAGTAAAAAAAAAAGTTAAATTTAACAATGATTTTCTGCAATTAGGCTATAAAATCTAGCCGTTTTCCCTTATCCCTACAATTCTCATGTGAAAGTATATAAAATATTGTGGGTCACGCGCGAAATCCTGCCAATCCACTCAGCGGTAAGATTTCGTATATATAAAATTGCATTGTGGGTCATTTTTTGATTGTGTAATTATGGGTCAAAAAAATTTTTTTTGTAAAAAATGAATATAGTTACTATTTTATTGTCATAAACAAAATTTTAGGCACATGGTTTGTGGGTCAATATATAATGACCCATAACCCATCCAAGGTACCCACAACGTGAGTGAAAAAGACGCAAAATAACCCACAATCCGCATGGCACAAAACTATATATATATATATATATATATATATATATATATATATATATATATATATATATATATCCTCTATGATATTATTTGTCTGCATTAATGCATTAAAATGTCTTTTTGGACAATTATATAAGTATTTGGAACCGGGGCTTTATTTTTGCGTCAGCTTAGCAAACGAGGGACAAACATTGCTTCAACTGACAAATCAGATGAATGAGAATTGCAAGATGGGTTACAAAGTTTACTTCAGGAATTTTACACCTAAAAAAACAAATATGATGGCGATGGGAAAGGCACAAAGAACATTTTCCCACCCACATCGTAAAGAAATTTCAATTGTTTCTTTTTGCCCTATGATTTCCATTCTAACACTGAATGACAAGAAATTCATATCCGGATACCTATTTTTGTATTCATATGATTCGAAGCAGAATTTTATTTAAAATTTCTAAAGGGAAAAGAGGAAAACACTTGCTGTAGCCTTCAACTCGACACTTGCATATATCGACGACGTACTGTAAATTAAGCTTGAAATAAAAGACACCACAGTGATTGACACATCTATTTCATAATTAGATATTTTACTAGAAAAAGACAATAATGGTAATCTTAAAACAAAGTTTTATGATAGACATGATGACTTTAATTTTTCAACCGCCTTCCTTAGTTATGGAGCAATATACCCTTATCTCCTTTATACGGGGTTTAAATCTCTCAGCTGATTCCATACGCAAGTGTTGTGTATGGATGTATGGATAATTTCTTTAACGAGGTAGGTAAAGACGAAGAAGTTGATGAAACAACAATATCAGCCCTGTATAAAGTCACCATTTCGTTTTCATCATCAAGTTTTATCATGGACACATTGACTTCGTTGAGATAAATGTTGATTGAGATTTTAGTACTAATTGTTAGACCATTATTTACACACTGAAGTATCGACAGCTTTTCCCGTTATGTTCGGATCAGGATAAGGAAAACACAATTGATGTGATCGGTCTGCAGGGGATGCTCATTTTCATGGTACCTGATCCACCTCTGATGTTTTAGAGCTCTATGTTTGCTCTGATATAATAATTTTAGCTGCCAACCTTTATTTTCCAAAGAAAAAAATTACATTATAGTTTTAAAATTTAATCATTTTTGTATATCTTTATATGGAGCTCGTCTTTTAAAGACCAATATAGTTTGGAAATGGCCACAACCACTCAGCCCTCTTAAAACTACCGAGTTGTGACCCATACTACTAAAGGAGAACCTAGTCTATATACCCTGTATGATAATTTGTTCATATTTTTGTCTTACTCATAATCTAATGTTTCTTAATCACAATTTTCAAATACCATTAGTTTTCATCTAATAATTATCAATTTTCTTTCTACAAGAAAAGGTTTTGTCCCCTTTCATTGAAAGACATTCATCATATAACCTTACTTTATTCTTTGGGTCAGATTACCTATAGCTAACAAATAAACGTTTGAAAAACAACTGCGACTTTGTTTCTATTTGTATAGAGTATAGGTGTCTTAAAAACATTTTTAAAAGTATGTCACATTTTTATTAGCATTGAAAGTATCCGCAATTATGTGCCTTAAAACTTACCTGTACAAATTAGTCCATGAAAGTCGGTTGTTATTATTTTTCCCTTTTCAAATGTTTTTGTACACTGTTCAATCCCCTTTTCATTTCCGCTACATGAAAGAAAACTCATCATCCGCCTACCAAATTTGCGCCCAAAGTAGTTGAAGGTAAACACTTTGTCACTAGCAAAACATAATATATTCGTTAAGAAGTATAATCTCTTTAAAGGTACTTGGACACAGATTTGAAGTCAATATTTTCTCTATAATATTACGACTTACATATTTTAATAGCATTTCACAAAAAAATTAATTAAAAATCTTATTTCATTTAAAAGTTATTCAAACTTCAAATTTTTTGGCGTGTTTGATTGACAAATCCTTGCACTTTCACAAATTTTAACCTTATATTCTTAATCCTTAGGAAAAATTACAATCTTGTTGTGTATTAATGAAAAATATAAAAAATTTTATCCAGAAAAATAATTTATTCAGAGTAGAAATGTTAGAAAACAAAACTCCTTCACAAGTATCGTCATTCCGAACTAAGAGTTGCGTACAGAGTTTATCAAATCGAGCACACTCGTGTTACGTACACAGTTTTTGTAAACAGGGACGAGTTCTGTTATTGTTGATGTTTAGAATTCACCGGGTGCGTTCAATCGTCACAGTCTGCTTACCACAACTGCATGGACTGACAATATATTGTGTGTTTGATTTGCTTTCGAACATATCTACTCTGAATTTTCTGGATCATAGTAATTAATATTTTTCATTTGTACACAACGAAATTGCGACTTTTCCTAAGGATTAAGAATAGAATTAATTTGCGAAAGAGCAAGGATGTCTCAATTAAACCCGCAAAAAGTTGAAATTTTAATATCTTTTATATGAAATAAGATTTTTAATTAATTTTTGTGTCGTAATATTATAGAGAAAATAGTAACTTCAAATCTGTGTCTAAGTACCTTTAAAAGATATATATTTCTCAACTTAGAAAAAGATTGGACCAGCCTTAAATGTTACATTTAATTTAAAAAGTGAATTACATAGGAAATCCAAGTTGTCGACAAGCAACTTTTGCTTCCTGTATTCCCCACTGGGCATAGTTCTCCGAAGAAATATAACCGTGTAAATTTCCAAGTGATAGACGAAGTGTCCCTTGATGTTTAGCAAAACCATCTTCAACATTGAGTGTAAAGGAATCTAAAAGGAGAGTAAATATAGTAAAATTACCATAATTATCTCTTTTTTCCAAACATCCAATGATCATACATATAATTGTAGGCTTAAGGTGAAATGCTTTGAATCAACCTCAAATTGAAAATAATAGTTAATAATAAAGTAATAAGTTATATCTTAAATATATACGTCCAATCATTAAAAAAGGAGCAAAAATATCTTATTGGAGTAAAGGTATTTACCATATTTTCATTGACAATTACAAGCTTGTCCTGAATTTTTTTTCAAAAATATCTTACATATATCCCTGTTGTTTTGATCTTTGAACTAAACAAACATGCAATATGCTCTAATTGTCGAAAACGAACAACTCTGAATATTTTGCTAATGTATATTTAAGTACGGCTCCGTGTAAAAATCATGCAGACAGTATAGAAAAGGTGATTTATCGACCATCTTCAAATTCAATAAAATTGGGTTTAATATATTCATTTGGGTCTAAATTGAATATAAACAGTTGATTTTGTTATAATTCTTCTTTTTTCATTTAGCCAGGGATAAAGTACTTGAGGTGTAATTTTGTATAGATAGTGTGCAAATAATGCCTATTTCAGAAAAGAATATCATTAAAACCTTAGAAGAAGTACAAAAACTTAATACATAATTCAAGTGAACATGGAAGGCTTAATAAAAATTTACTTTAATATTTTTGTGCAAACGAAGTATTGAAAAGATACAAGGTGTTTAAAATCGAGAATTAGTCAAGATTCTTCAAATGAGTTATCTCCCTTTGCAATTTTACATAGGTGGCGCTAGTAAAAATAAATGGCAGCCTCTATGGTTAGCTGTACGCTGCAAAGTTATTTTGATGCATCCTGTGATGTTTATTGCAAAAATATGTGTGAAGTGACATAAATTGGTTGAAAGGATTCTACAAGAACAGATTAGGCATAGTTTTCGGGCAAAAGTATAGCCATGTGTCGTGTTGATTAGTATATTGACCTTGTTGACGTTCTCCCGAAATGGTACTCGCCTACTGACACCGTTGTGATCTATCTCAGAAGGTTAAATTCTACGGTAATCCACCAGAGTCCAAGAGTAAACTCTCAGAGAGGGGTGGCAGTCCGATTTTGTCAGCTTACTCGACTTGGAGAGGGAAGATAATGTACATTTGGACAGTTACATTTGACCAGGTAAGATCAGGTCCAGAACACTGCAGAACAATTTCTTAATTAAGATAATTAATTTTGTAGCTTGAAATAACTATGTAGCTTTAATATGTTGACGGTGCGACCGTTAGGGCGAGCGCATATACTTATCCATTTTCATTTAGATTGGACATGTAAATCCGCACGTGAAATTCGGTGAGTATTAGATTCTGACGTCATATGACGCCGTTTGTGTGATGCTTTACCAAACCGAAGCCTGAACAAGGCAGATTTCAATCAGTGTATGACTATCTTTCTGCAATAAACAGATAAAATCATTAAATCAAGACAAGTTTATTATTCGTTTAACTTTTGTTGTTATTCTCGCGAGAATGTTGCTTTAGAGTTTGTATATGAAGCGATGCATTGTGGGTCTAAATTACTGTGGTAAAAAATTCTTTGGAATGAATGTGCAGTAGTCTGAATTTTCTCTTTGCCCAGGCGTTTTCATCAGAGCTCGCAGTTACGTGCATCGCTTTGCGACCCTTGCTGCACTTGCTATTAATCTATTCAAAAGCTTTTTATATGCAGTCAAAAGTATTTTACAAGTCCTATATGACAATGTATTATGAGTCTTTAATAAAAAGGAAAAATCATAGATACCTGTAGTATTGCAGCTGTTGAATACTTTTAATTAAGCAAAAGACGAATTTCCATTTTCTTAAGAGCTTGGGTACACTACCGTTAATGGAAGGTAATTTTCAGCACAACGTTTTTGTCTCTACTCTAGCATTCTACAATTATTGTTAATACAAATCAGAAGTGACACACGGTTTTCGTCGATTTACTGCATACTTTATCACCAAAAACTATAGAGTTTCTTTTTTACTTTATACAGCCAAAATTGAAAGATTAGTTTCCAAAGACATTACTCGATGCTCACATTTAAAATTGTAGTTTTAGATGATAAATACAGTGAACCTTCAGATATCTGGATGCAATATATCTGAATGCTTCAGTATTCGGAAGATTTTTCATCGGAACGAAAATTTTTAACGTTATTTTGTCTTATTTAACTGGTAGTTCAGGTATCCAGACACTTCACATATCTGGAAATTTGACTAGGAACCAAAGCGTCCGGATAAATGAGGTACCACTGTAGTTGCTTCCAATACGTACCGTACAAACCTTGTGACGTTTGTATGTCTTACTTTTGATATTTGATTGAGGGGTTAAATGATAATTGTGCACATTGTGCTGCTGTCTAAAACTATGTAAAGAAAACTGATAGCCAATTTACATGCAAATTTAAGCTGATGTGTCATCAGATAATCTTGTCGTCTAGACCTGTTTAAGTTACTGTGCACTCCCCTATGTGCGATGAGGCATGAATAAGTATGATGGTATGGTTAAGGCAGTGTTTGAAATAACTGGTGCTCAACCGTCTGAGATGCACAAAGTTTGTCACAGGCAAACATATTTGTAACAGATTACAGATTTGACACCCGACTGAAAATGAAAAACTTTTCAAAAACTTGACCTTGGTCATGACTTTTGAATGAAAAATAAAGGGTTTTTCTCATTGGGATTCAAAACCAAGGCGCACATGGATCTTAAAAAGTAGATAGAAAGCTTGGAATGGTTTAAGTAACAATCTTTTAAAATCTTCTCAAGAACATTAAGATGATGATATGGAAGCATTCTCTGGTGATGTAGTGTATAAATAAATTGGTTAAGTTAAACCCCCCTTTGGGTAGGATGGGGCCACAATGGGGATCAAAGTTCCACATTGAAATATATAGGGGAGAATCTTCCCTAGAACAGCAAAGCCATGATTAATATTGTACTGATATGGAAGTTATTGGAAGAAGCCTCAAGTCGTGTAGATTCTGTTTAAATTGTACTAAAGTTAAAACTGGAGACAAATTGCAAATGATGAAAAATACACTAGTAGAAAAGATATTTCACATACAGCAAAACTCGTTTACTACAAACAGATATAGCGAATTCATGGATATAGCGAAGTTATTTTAGATCCCCAGTTATATAAATTTAACAAATTCCTTATATGGATATAATGAGTAATTGATGTAGCAAAGTAATTTCATAGGTCCGGTGACTTTGTTATAACTTTGTTTTACTGTATTTCATAAATTAGTATTATTGTTTTTTAGATGAATTAAACTCCATTTTATTTTCACAGAATATATGCGATGGGCTGCATCATGGTTTTGAAGGAAAAGGTTACACTATTTATTACAGACAGCAAGAAAACATCATTGAACACCACCAACTAATAAGACTCCAAAGGTGGGAGAATATCTGTCATGCAACCATTTATAGATTTTTAATGAAATTACTGCATTATATAAACTTGATATTCCATGTAAAGTAATTTATAAATTCAAAATAACCATTTAGTACCTTAATAATAATGTAGCATAAACTAAAGAATTCTAAATTGATGAATGATAAGTACATGTACATGTATATTGTAATTATTATTTTAGGAATAATGGAAAATATGATATTTAAAGCTGTCAAAAAGCAGAGATTAGAGTTCAGTGGATTCCATGACGGTACTTTGGATAATGTTAATGAGGCAGCAATTCTTTTCCAAAGGATCTTAAGTGCTTTTAGAAGAGGCTAATAAACAAAGGACAGTCACTTACTACAGAAGAGAAGCAGAGGAGATTAGTGATATTCTGAGTGGCATGACTGCACCTTACAAAGATGTAAAACTTTAAAAATTGTGTTTACATATACAATGATTATATGATAAATGTATCTAGTAATCAATATTAATATGATTAATATTTTCAAATGTTTTTTTACAGTTAACTGTTCATTAATGAAAAAATAATTTGTGTTGTATTTGAATTTGGAAATGTAAAGGAATTTATTTTAAAATGTAAACTGATATTCTTACATGTAAACATGTACTGGTGTATGTACATGGTGTATTTATTGGACTCTGACAAAAGATGATGCTACTTCTTTTTTTTGGTGAAATTATTAATCACAATGATTTTTGTGCACATGATTTTTTTTTAATTTTCCATAGGGTATGGTATCTATGATTCCTACTCAGCCTTTTTTGTTTTGCTGTTTTTTAAATCATAGATATATTTTATTTTCTTGATAACTGAAATCCTCAAAAAATGATACTTTGTTGTTTTTTGTCAACATGAATTATCTCCCCCTTTCAGCTTGAAATTAGAAATAATACTGTAGATATAGATATAATTTGATTATTGAAAATAAATAATTGAGTTGGATTTGGATTTGGAACTATAAAGAAATTGTTTTGAAATGCTTTTTATAATTTAACATGCATATTAAATATATACATGACATTTATTTGACCGTGATGAAAAAGTGAATTTCCCATTTTTTGTATAAAACTCTTTAATGGCTTTTGGAAATTAATAATCAATTGCACAAAAATGTTTTTAATATTTTATTTGCCATAAGGTATGGTGTCTAGGAAATAAACACTGCCTTTCTGTTTGGCTGTAGTGTATTTTTTCTTGAATTTTTTTATCGTATAGCTGAATTTAGCTGTAAATCCTTTTAAAATTGAAAATTTCAGTTTTTCTCGACATGGATTATCTCCCCTTTTCAGCTGAAAATTAAGAACTATTACTGGACGTGGTAATATTTGGATTAATTATGAAAAGTAAATAATTTGATAGTATTTGAAAATGGAAATATAAAAAAATGGTTTTGAAATGCTATTTATTTTTTACATGCAAACATATATGGCATATATTGGACTGTGACAAAAAAACAGAAATTACCATTTTTGTACAAAATTCATCAGTTGTTTTGGGAAATTAATAATCATTTGCACAAAAATGTTTTAATAATTTTATTGACTTTAGACTATAGTCTCTATGAAACAAACATGGCTTTTTAGTTTGGCTGTGGGGTTTTTAGAAATTTTTGATAGATAAAAATCCTAAAAAATTGATATTTTACATTTTTTGCCAATATGGATTATCTCCCCTTTTTAGCTTAAAATTAGAAAACATTACTGGTCATAAAAATATTTTTGACTAGATATGGATAGTAACTACTTATGCTGTATATTAATAAGAAATAAACATAAATTTGTTTTATTGTTTAGTTTTCTTTTCATTTAATCTTCATTATTGGTATTTTTGCCTGTTTTTAGAGGAAATTTCAGCCATTTTTTGCCCAAAACAGTTTATCGGTTGCCATGGATACCAATGGCAGAATTAAAAAAAAATTATAATTTTTTTTGGAGTATCTTAGCATACTCTACCAACATGCAAAGTTTGAAGAAATTCTGAAACCCCCCATGAATCACCCTCTGCATGATTTTTACACGGAGCTGTACTTAATAAGCTTCATGTCAATTTCAGCTTAATTCAGATAAAATTTGCATAATTCTTAATAATAGGTATGAAATTTCAGCATAGGAATGACCGCAATAACATATTGATCTTTTGAGATTTTACACACCTGCAGATTATTAGGACCATGTATTTATTCAAATCAAGGACTTATCATGATTCTTTCGTGTCATTAAAATAAAGCTTTCAATCTTGTTTTAAAATCGTATAAACTTTGATCGAACACTCTTAAATGCTGACCATAATTGTATAAAACAATATTCTATTGTTTAAAAAATAAAAGAAAAAACAATTTTAAGATATATTGTAAAAAGATGAACCTACCTTCACATGACAGATAAGCAAACTGTTCCGTTTTGAATGTTCCATCGATGGTCATTGTACAATCAAAAATACTCCCTTCTGTACCGGTACAGGAAACCGAGAAAGCCCAGCGACGAGCATACATAGAAGGAAATGATGTGGATCCCTCATAGTAAGCTATATTTCTAGGGGAAAAAAGACAGAAATGACCTAAACTAATCACTGTTTATAATTTTCGCTCATCTTAATTAAATAAGTGCAATTTCATTGGCAATCATAAAAAAAATCAGCATCTTGATTATTACATGTACTTTTAAAAAGATAATTTTGTTTCAGTTGACTTCTATAAACTTCAAATCAAATAAATAACCAAAACTCAGTCATAAAGCGATAAAGACTGATAAAACATTTTTGGAAGTGGAAAGACTTTATTTTCAAATACAATTAAATACTCAGAGACAGAAAACGATTGACTTTGTTATTCAAATATGTATAGTTGAACATTTGCCTTACGTTGTAAATCCAAGTTGTCGACAAATAACCTTGGCTTCGTTTTGACCTACTGGAGGAATGTACCCTTTTTCTCCCTCTATAGTTAACTCTATTAAACCAGTCTTTGTACTGTTTCCTCCAACAAGGGCTACCTTTGGAGAGTCTGAAATCAAGAGTTTTTTCACTTATAAATAGGGGAAATGGTAAATTAAAGAAGCTTAATACTCTTGTCGAAAAAATTCTTTCCTCTTTGTGTAGGTTGTTGTTTTATCTTTCCGTTTGACAAACTTTTTGTGTAAGATATTGAAAAGTCTTTTTAGCCGGACTTTGCTGAAAGCAAAATCCTGGCTGTAGGCATCATGATCGACTGCATTACTAAAAATAGCACAGTGTAGAAAAGTAAACAAAAATCCAAACAACTTCAAAGCCAACGCTTTTGATAAACAAAATAGTACAATGGCGATACGATTTTTAAAAGGACACAATGAGTCAAAATAATGTTTTTCTTTTAAGATATCTGTAGCATACAGAGAAAGACTTATGAAAATTATGAGTTTATACGAGGGTTGTCCGATATGTATTGTGTATTGTACCACAGCGCGATATCGCCTTGCACGACTTCGTCGACATTTATACGCCTGGACAACTCTATTCAATACCTTGCCATCAGTATAAACACGAACCTTCAAATACACATGGTTGTAAAATAATCGTCATTTCAACAGGTCGAGACCACTACCTTATACTTGGAAGGCAATTTTAAACACGTGACGATGTCTTCGTCACGCCCGTTCTCCAATCAAGTGAAAGAGTCCCAAAGCATAACAGTCTACTACGTGTTAACGATTCAATGGCTACACGTGGTTTTTGTCGGTTTACTGCACAAAATTTAACTCGTCACCGGAAAAACTGTAGAGCTTCTTTATAACTTTATTAGACCGAAATTGAAAGATAATATTCTAAAGACATTGCTCCATGCTCACATTTAATATTAGAGTTGTTTTAGATGATTAACAGTTGCTTCGAATATCGTACAAACGCTTTGACTTTTGCATATACATAAAACACTTTCTGATAATATTGAGGGGTTAAATAATAATTGCACACATTCTCCTGCTGTCTAAAAACAAAGACCTATATACTACCTGCGAAAGCTATGTACACGTATATCACGTGAAAAAACTCAATGTTTTATCGACACGATAGCACTTATACGTCTCTTTGAACAATGGTGTACTAGGCCGATGTATTATAAGTTGATATAAGGCTTCATAAAGCAAATTTTGTAAATGTGAGCATAACAAGAGGCCCACGGTCCTTATAGGTCACCTGAGCATTATGCAACAACTTTCCAGTGACTGAATTTGATTCATGTTTTAAGCCAGATGCTATGGCATTCACAATTTTGAAAGAGGCACCATTGATCATCATAACAATACACTTAGCAGTTGCTTAGTTTGTTTACTTAATGCCCATACCCAGGGTAGGGGAGCAAAAAATGAATTTCAACTAATCAGTAATATTCAGCAATAATCAGAAGTGCCCCTACCACACATGAACCCCAGACCCTTAGGCCTTGATATTTGATTAATACCAAGGAGCAGATTTCAAACCATTCATTCATTTTCAGTATATTAGTAGAGCCCTCCCTCCTCTTCTATGGTACCCCTGACCCTGGGGCCTTGAAATTCACAATTCTGGAAGATTAGGGCCCTTGTCCATCATAACTATATATGTAGTTCATCTGCTTAATACCCTGGAACAGAGAAGAAAATTTTCAAAGACTTAATGTATTTTCACTATATAATCAATAGAGCCCCGCCCTGACACCAGAATCCCTGACCCTGGGGCCATAAAATATATAATTTCGGAAGAGGCATTCCTGCTCATCATAACTATGTACTTAGTTTATTTAATTCCTAAGAGCAGAGAAGATTTTTGAAGAATTCATGTATTTTCACTATATAATCAATAGAGCCCCGCCCTAACACCAGAACCCCTGACCCTGGGGCCATAAAATTCATAATTTTGGTAGAGGCACTCTTGCTCATCATAACTATGTATTTAGTTGGTTTATTTAATACCCAGGAGCAGAGAAGAAGATTTTTAAAGAAATAATGCATTTTCACTACCTAATTATTTTGCCCCGTCCTAGCACTACAACCCCTGACCCCAGGGCCACGAATTTCACAATTTTGGTAGAGGACTCAATGCTGATTACAATCATGCAAACAGCTTGACTGCTCGATGTCCAGGAGTAAAGAAGAAGATTTTTTAAGATTGCATTAATTTTAGTGGTTTTGGCCCCACCCCTCAGGCCCCAGGGGGGCAGTGATCATGAAATTCACAATTTTTGTTCCCCTTTACCCATGGATGCTCTGTGCCAAATTTGGTTGAAATTGGTTCAGTGGTTGCAGAGAAGAAGCTGAAAATGTTCAAATGTTAACGCACAACGCACGACGACGGACGAAAACGGATAGCAATAGGTCACCTGAGTTTACTCAGGTGACCTAAAAATGAAAGATTATACATCATTTTAAATATTTCTTTTACAAATTGTAAAAAAGAATTGAAAATAAGTTTCCAAGGCACAATTCAAGTTGCCTTTAATTTTCAACACAGCTAGGTATTTGTAGTAGCCCACAATGCATTGCGGCTAATTCAGCAGTAGGTAAAGTAAACATATTACAGTAGCTAATTTACATGCAAATTTATTCTGACGTCAGAAAATCTAGTGGTCTCGACCTGTTCAATATAGCCAGTCGTTGACCACTGTTGTAAAAATGGTTGGGAAACGGGTTGAGAATATTGAAGAAATTAGAGCTTATATAAAAGTTCGCACAAAACTCGGTAATTCGGTAAAGCAGATTTTTACTGAATTGGGGTCAGTTTATGGGTCTGATAAGGTATCTTATGAGACAGTTCGTAGGTGGAGACAGAAATTTCTGACTGGCACAGAGTCCGTCAAAGATGCAGCAAAATCGGGTCGACCTGAGACTGTATCAGGCAAGACAAATGTCTCAGAAGTTAAGGAAATAATTGAAAGTGATGGCAGGTACACGATTCGTGATATTGCCAAAGCTGTTGGCATATCGCTATCGCGGGTGCATTTCATTTTGAAGCGTATTTTGAAACTACGAAAGATTTCTGCCAGATGGATACCCCATATATTGACAGATGACCAAAAAACGTACGAATGCAAACCGGTAAGCAACTGCTAAAAATGTATCCAAACTTCAATCAAAGACAATTTGCAAACATAGTTACTAGTGACGAAACATGGGTTCACTATTTCGAACCAGTAAGAAAAGTTTTAAACAACTTGTGGATAACCAAACACGGAGAAGGCCTGTAGTTGCCAAAAGGACAATGAGCACAAAAAAGAAGGTCCTTTATTGCATATTCTTCTCTTGTGATGGTTTAGCCGTACAAATTCCGGTTCCGAAGGGCAAAAGTGTTACAGGTCGGTATTATCGAGATGTTGTACTGAAAAAGCTCAAGAAATATTATCTGAAACGACGTCCTGTGTCGGGATTTAGGCATGTTCGCCTTCTTCATGATAATGCTCCATCACATACATCTGATCTTGTGAAGCAATTTTTGAAGTCTGAGAAGGTTACCGTCTTGCCACACCCACCATACTCTCCGGATTTAGCACCATGCGACTTTTTCCTTTTTCCAAAACTTAATTAAAAAGTTCTTATCTGGTCGTCGATACAAGTCCCGACAGGCCCTTGGCTCAGCCGTCAGTCAGTGCCTCAGAGGTATACCTAAATCAGCGTACCGTGACGCATTTCATGAATGGATTCAGAGATTAAATTTGTGTATTTCAAATCACGGAGAATACTTTGAAGGGATGTAATGTCCATTTGACTATTTGAATCGAATGCTTTTGAGATATTGTACAATACACAATACATATCGAACAACCCTTGTAGCTCAGACATAAGAATTAAACTGCAAGAAAAGACTGCACAATATAAGTGCCGGAAAAACAAGGGTTATATCTACCGTTTCGTTGTTTCGTGTATGTCAAGGACACACACCTTTAATTTTTAACTACATGTAAAACTTGTAAACAACATTCAACTAGAGCATGCAAAGGTGAGAAATATGTTCTAACAACTTTTTTTTTAAAAATTACATCAAAATTTTTGGTCAACGTATATTCATTCGTAGATACTTGAGACTAGGTAACTACAGAAACATATTCAACTTTTCTGTGCACGTGTACAGGGAGGATGAAGTAAGAAGTACCAGGGTATTTTGCAATATTTTCGTTACGGGGCATACTGAAATTATTTTTACTTTTATTTTTTCTCCATAAAAATAGAATTTTGAGATTCTGAAATCCGTAATTTTCTTAAACCTTATATCTATAAACAAAATTCTACATTTGTCAATTTTCCCTTTCTGCGTCACGGTGTTACTTTAAACAAATATTTTTCAATCATATCAATCTTTGTAAATGTTCATGAGAAAAATTTTTGCTTGAGAATTAAATTGAAAGAGGAATGAGATATTTGCTTAATTGGGGTAATCGTTCACGTGATATGACAGTTTGTGCACGTACGCTACCTAATGCATTATGTAAGCGACATATTTTCTAAAGTGCGGGATTTTCGAAAGGTTTAAATTGTTGAAGAGTTTCATATCGTTTTCGTTGATGGTATATTTAAGGAATCACTGTCTAGTTTTGAGAGTATGCCAGGGCATCAACAATAGTGGGAAACATGGGATAATTTGCATAACGGGTATTTCCATTTCATTGTGAAATAAAATTGTAGACATAGACATTAAGAATGTAGACTAATCAATTTAAATTACACGAGGACTTCCATGCCAATTTCAATAGTCCTCGCACACTGACGTCAAACACAAAGGCTGTCGCACGAGATTTACATGCATATTTGGCCTCCTTAGCGTCAGACACAGAGACAGATGCGCACGAGATTTGCATGCGTATTAGGCCTCCTTAGTTGCTGACCTATTGACCTGCCTAATTTACATTCCTGCAGAATTATCATGAAATCAACTCCGCTTACTTTCAAAGGGTTATTATAGAGAGAAAAAATTAGAAATGGAAATATTAGTGGTTATATTCTCTGCTTTGAATTTTAGCAAATTTAAAAATAGTTCAGTGAATTGGAATTTTAAGTACTAAATTAAATATGCGTTATGCTTGAAGTCGCTTGACAATGTACGTGTACTAGATTTTTTGCGTGTAGTTGGCGATAAAACTGTTGAAAACTATTTAGAATGTTTATAAATATATTATTCTAACTATTCTAGGACTAAATTTTTAAATCATGAGAGAAAAATGCTTTTAGAAAAGAAAAAATATGCGAGAATTCCAAGGAAATATAATATATTAAATTCGAAAATCATAACATATCTGCATAAGTATGTTAAATGATTACTTGGTATTCTGAAATTCTTGACATAGACCATGTAAGAAAGTTCAGCATAACATTCAAATTAAAAAGAAATTCAGAGAAATTTTAATTTACCATAAAATTATTTCTTGGCATGTAAATTAGGTCTAATGACTTAGTTGTCTTTTTAAGAAGCTGACACTTTGAAAAAGAGTAGCGAAAATTAATTTTTCCTTTCTAATACAGTAAATAATTTTGAACAAAAATCCTTATGATGATTAATATTTTGAGTAAAAGAGATGTTAAAACAAAAAGTTCTTAAAGCAATTCTATTTGGTTAATATTTTTATTAATTTTTTTTTTTTAAATTTTGATGACTGTGATAAAGTTTTATATTCTATAAAACAGGTAATATGAAACAAATAAATATTAGATAAATAAAAATAGAAATTCCATGTTAACACTTTCATATTGATAACTTATACCGTTGATTGACCAATCAATTTATCATCGAAAATTTTTATGCTTATATTTTCAGATCAAATGTTAAACAAAATGCCAAAGCCATGTTTTTTTTTCTTCAAATTTTGTTCTCAAGAGACTTCTCAACTTGGATTATTCTTGCATGTGTTCTCAGAGCACTTTACAGTATATTATGCGTGCACGTGCATTTCTGTAACAAGTGTCTATAACAAATGCAGGCTCTCAGGGGTGCTGGGAAATAAAACTCGTTCATATTAATATATTATTTTTAAAAAGACAACATAGAAAATGTTCATTTAATAATCTTTCTTTTTAAAACACATTATTTTCAGGTATAGTTATTTAGTCTTTGTTTTAAAACTTTCTGTTCAGAATGAAGAGCCCACTATGCACAAGTCATACAGACCTGAATACTAGTATATCATGATTTCTCAAGCAATTATATCCTTTTGGCCAAACCTGGAACTAGAACTACACTGTAAACCCATCCATGTCCCAAAAAATTAGATAATTATCAATTTCATGCAGCTGTTTTCCTAGAGGACCAAAAAAAAAAAATTTACTGGTAGATAAAGGCAGGTAGCATCATTTTTAAAAGAAGAAATAAAAGGTATATTGTCAAAATCCGAGCGAGAATCCTATTCCTCGGGTACAGGTGGCTTCCAACTTACGATCACATTTCGATTTTTATTAATACTGTTTTTACATTGCCAAATTACTGTAAATGTAATATGCTACAGCAAAAGGAAGGGTACAATCTAATTAAAGATTAACCATCAATTCATTTGTAAATCTGTCGTTCGTTACAAATGTCCGGTAAATTAATGGATAGCAAAATGAAAAGTCTAGGCCCTAATTGAGTTTTTGATTGCAAAGAGTTTATCAACCTTTCAACGTACATTTTTCATGATAAAAGTTTTTGTTTGAGAAATGCTGAAGCTCCTAACTACCCCAATACTATGTGCCTGTATTAATCAGCAAAATCACTCAAAGTGTACTATCATAATAAATAGCAGTGAAACTCTCAAAGTTCATGATTTACACAAGACAAAATTGCCAACGCACCACCTAAGAAAATTAATATTTTACTTTTAAAAAACTGTTTATGAAGTATTTGATATATAAATGTGTTACTTTGAATAAAAAAAATAAGGCATATTAATGTCAAACCTTATACATGCAGTCTTTACTTTAGTATTAAAGGCCTACATTGTACTGACATTGACTATTGTCCTAATCTGAAAAAAAAACACTCAGGACGATTGTTTAGTCTTGTGTCTTTTTGGATTTGGCCAGTCTTTTTTTGAATAAGCATTATATCACATCATGTTTATGAGCTTTTGAAACTACTTTAATGTGAGGCTGAAAGCGATACACGAACCGTACAAACCGAAATTAAAATATTTTGAAAATACATCTGGATTAATGTAACAAAAGGCTCGTTGTTATATGCAACAAAAACATATTTACCCGCACAAATGACAGCAGCAGCTTGCGGAGGGTTTCTTATACCAGATACAATCAATTTGCAGTCAAACAGAGTTTCTTCGGTGCCATTACAAATCGCTCTAGAAAGCAGCTGATCAGAACTTCCTTGGTGAAATATCCCTGTATTAATAGCAAATCCAAAGCGACTGAAAAGAAGATTATGAAATAGATTTATAAAATTAAATATATTATTGATAAAGATGACACTTTTAGCATACACTGTACACATGAACTTGGCTTTGAATTGATGACTATTCATCAAACAGCAGTTTTTAGTTTATAGGTGTGCTAGACATGATCCGTTCCTGCATAGTTTAGCATTTCCATCATATTATAGAAAGCAAATTTTGAACCACTCATACAGTCTTCTTTACAGTGTGATACTGATTAAAACACCTTAATCCTCATATTTAAATATGAAATTTATATTTCAATGTTGCAACAATGTACACATTAAGCCAAACAGTAAACACTACTTATTTGCATACAAGAAATATCCGGAAAGAACAAGGTTCACTTTTGCCTTATTTGGCCCTGTGGATTTCTGAAAACCTGAAAATACTTAGTTGTAGTTAGCAATGCATTGAATATCACTTAGATCCTTGGTGACTGCGTATCTATCAAAAAAGACGTAATTTTCTGACTAGTCAATGTATTATGCCGTCACAAAATACGTCAATTTCCTCATTATCTGAAAAAGTCTACAAAAACGGCCAATTTTTAAAGATATTTTTCTATATTAAATATATATCGCAACCTCTGATCTAAAATATGCAACTAGTAAATGATAGAACTTTTACTGAGGATTTAAAGACAAGTTTTATTTTTTAGATCAGAGAGTGCACTCATATTATTTTCCTTCACTGAAAGTGCTCAATTATACCTGTTTACCTAAAAATTCAAGAACATTGCAATTTCAAAAAGCAAGTTCTCCAAGACCTGGACTTTTAGGAGAAAATATTTAATAGGATATGAAAGCACTAAGTCTCTATTTTATTTTAATGCTTTAAATGGAAAATCAAGTGTTGATCAATTAATTGGTATATCTACACCATTTTATGCATAAAGAGAATCGACTTCTTTCACAGGGTTTTTAGGTCATCTGAGTAAACTCAGGTGACCTATTACTATCTGTTTTCGTCCGTCGTGCATCATGTGTTAACATTTTTAGCTTCTTCTCTGAAACCTCTGAACCAATTTCAACCATTTTTGGCATATAGCATCTGTGGGTGAAAGGGAACAAAATTGTGAATTTCGTGGTCCCTGCCTCCCTGGGGCCTGGGGGGTGGGGCAAAAACCACTAAAATTAGTGCAATCTTTAACTAGAGGCCCATGGGCCTTATAGGTCACCTGAGCATTATGCAACAACTTTCCAGTTATTGAATTTGATTCATGTCCTTAGCCAAAGATGCTAAGGCATTCACAATTTTGAAAGAGGAACCATTGATCATCATAACAATACACTTAACAGTTGCTTAGCTTGGTTACGTAATACCCATAGGCAGGGTAGGGGAACAAAAATGCATTTCAACTAATTAGTAATATTCAGCAATAATCAGTAGTGCCCCCAACACTGTGACATAAACCCTTGACCCTAGGTCCACACATTGCACAAATTTTAAAAAAGCACCCTTAAAATTGCCTATCAAAAAATAAATAAATGTTTGATTAATACAAAGGAGCAGATTTCAAACAATTCATTTTCAGTATATAAGTAGAGCCCCCCCCCCGTACCCCTGACCCTGGGGCCTCGAAATTCACAATTCTGCAAGATTAGGGCCCTTGCTCATCATAGCTATATAGGTAGTTCATCTGCTTCATACCCAGAGACAGAGAAATTTTTTTTCAAAGATTTAATGTATTTTCACTATGTAATCAATAGAGCCCCGCCCTAACCCCTGACCCTGGGGCCATAAAATTAATAATTTTGGAAGTGGCATTCTTGCTCATCATAACTGCACTTAGTTAGTTTATTTAATACCTAGGAGCAGAGAAGAAGATTTTCAAAGAATTCATGTATTTTCACTATATAATCAATAGAGCCCCCCCCCCCCCAACACCAGAACTTCTAACCGTGGGGCCATAAAATTCATAATTTTGGTAGAGGCACTCTTGCTCATCATAACTATGTACTTAGTTGGTTTATTTAATACCCAGGAGCAGAGAAGATTTTCTAAGAAAAAATGCATTTTCACTATATACTTATTTAGCCCCGCCCTAACACTAGAACCTCTGACCCCCAGGGACATGAATTTCACAATTTTGGTAGAGGACTCAATGCTGATTACAATCATGCAAACAGTTTGACTGCTTGATGTGCAGGAATAAGATGGGTAATAAGCAGATGAACTATTTACATAGTTATGATTGGCTCTTCCTCCAGAATTTTGAATTTCAAGGCCCCTCGGTCAGGGATACCAACGGGGGGGGGGGGGGGATCTCTACTTATATACTGAAAATGAATTGTTTGAAATCTGCTCCTTAGTATCAATCAAACATTTTTGATAAGCAAATGTGCCTTTTCAAAAATTGTGCAATGTGTAGACCTAGGATCAGGGGTTCATGTGTGGTAGGAGCACTCCTGATTATCGCTGAATATTACTGATTAGTTTACATACATTTTTGTTCCCCTACCCTGCTTATCGGTATTAAGTAAACAAACTTAACAATTGCTAAGGTATTGTTATGATTAGCAATGGTGCCTCTTTCGAAATTGTGAATGCAACAGCATCTAGCTTAAAACATGAACCAAATTCAATCGATTGAAGGTTGTTGCATGATGCTCAGGTGACCAATAAGGCCCATGGGCCTCTTGTTTAGAAATAGCAAATTGTCATCGTCGCGACCCTTCTTCAGTGTATAATTAATTCTAATATTATTTTCCTCTTGCAAAAATTAATCGTACCAGTAGATTTGAAACCGATTAATAAATTTATTGCAATTAATGCATAAAGTTGGCTTATTTAAAAAAAAAATAAATACAAATGTTTAATTCGTTTATGTCCTTCCTTCCTTACTTCAGATATCCTTTTCCTGCATGAACGAATGTGAAGAATATCTCCCTACTTAAGTCAACAAATTTATAGGAAATACTTGTCAATAACTAAATTCAATGAGATCTGGAAAATGTCATTATGTACAATCGAATCTGCTACCTCGGTTTTTGTAAGTATCTGCACACCGACTTTGCTGCCTTGTTATCCCAGTGAGCTGGATCTATTGTTCCCCATCGCTCCGCCAAGAAGACTTCAACGACACCCTGTGCAGTGCTATTTCCAACAAGTCTCATCGTAAATTTGTCCCTTTCTGCAATAAAAAATGCAATATATATCCCCAGTAACCCAAACTCTGTAACTATAAGCGGAAAACACAAACTTCAAATTATATTTTGATTTATTTCTTGTTACATGTAGATATGATTTACAATGGTCTTGCTGTTTAAATTCCCGACGACGTTAAAGGATTTACCCTATATTTTCATTTGTTAGACTTTGATCGTCAATTGTGGCCCCACCCTAACCCTGAGGGGTCATAATTTGACCAAAATTGAATCTAAACCACCCGAGGATCCTTCCATATAAATAGGACCAATCAAAGCTTTGCTGTTTTTGAAGAGAATATTTTTTAACATTTTTTTCTACATTCTCCTATGATAAATTTGATCCTTCATTATGGCTCCATCCTTACGCTGGGGTGTTACAACGCACTTTGAAAAAAATTTTCAAAGTGCGTTAAACTTGGGACCAAATCAACACACTTTGAAAAAATAAAATTTTATTTCAAAGTGCGTTAATATCGACCATATCAACGCACTTTGAAAAAATGTGTATGACCTGCTCAATATTCTTGCAAATCTTAGGTATGATAAATAATTGAACCTGTTTGATAACTCTTTGGTGATGAGGTCACTTCAGGATGTGAGAGTGAGCGATTTTAATTTTTCCATACTTTGAAAATTCTTTCTCTCTTAAATATTTTTCTGTACTTAATTTTTCCATTTTGCAAGCATTTTATGTAAAATAAAATTTACGAGGGCTGTCCAAAAAGTTCGTGGACAATGACGTTTTTGTGAAAATAAATGGTTCAATATGCATCTATTGTATATCAAAATATTTCTTTTGAAAAAACAAGCCAGAATGATTTAATTTTTATTGATGGAACGTAATATTTTTGTGAAAATAGGGGTCTTTAAGGATCGCAGATAGTGCGCACGGACCAAGGTTAAATTTGAAATTCAGTTTACTGTAGATGAACAGCTTTTCCTTGAAACACTCTTAATGGAAATTAGAGACAAAACCATCTCTTTTTCCAGTTTTGTAAAGAAAAAAAGTAATGAGATAGAAAACCAGTTAATTTCTGAAATTGAAACTTTGGAAAAAGACTACAATAACAAGAGGCCCATGGGCCTTATAGGTCACCTGAGCATTATGCAACAACTTTCCAGTGATTGAATTTGATTCATGTTTTAAGCCAGATGCTATGGCATTCACAATTTTGAAAGAGGCACCATTGATCATTAAACCAATACACTTAGCAGTTGCTTAGTTTGTTTACTTAATGCCCATACCCAGGGTAGGGAGCAAAAAATGCATTTCAACTAATCAGTAATATTCAGCAATAATCAGTAGTGCCCCTACCACACATGAACCCCTGACCCTTAGGCCTTGATATTTGATTAATACCAAGGAGCAGATTTCAAACCATTCATTCATTTTCAGTATATAAGTAGAGCCCCCCTCTTCTATGGTACCCCTGACACTGGGGCATTGAAATTCACAATTCTGGAAGATTAGGGCCCTTGTCCATCATAACTATATAGGTAGTTCATCTGCTTAATACCCAGGAGAAGAGAAGAAAATTTTCAAAGACTAAATGTATTTTCACTATATAATCAATATAGCCCCGCCCTGACATCAGAACTCCTGACCCTGGGGCCATAAAATTCACAATTTTGGTAGAGGCACTCTTGCTCATCATAACTACTAGTATGTACTTAGTTTGTTTATTTAATACCCAAAAGCAGAGAAGAAGATTTTCAAAGAAATAATGCATTTTCACTATATAATCTATATAGCCCCGCCCTAACACCAGAACCCCATGCCCCTGGGCCCATAAAATTCACAATTTTGGTAGAGGCACTCTTGCTCACCATAATAATGTACTTAGTTAGTTTATTTAATACCCAGGAGCAGAGAAGAAGATTTTCAAAGAATTCATGTATTTTCACTATAAAATCAATAGAGCCCCACCCTAACACCAGAACCCCTGACCCTGGGGCCATAAAATTCACAATTTTGGTAGAGGCACTCTTGCTCATCATAACTATGTACTTAGTTAGTTTATTTAATACCCAGGAGCAGAGAAGAAGATTTTCAAAGAATTCATGTATTTTCACTATAAAATCAATACAGCCCCGTCTTAACACCAGAACCCCTGACCCTGGGGCCATAAAATTCACAATTTTGGTAGAGGCACTCTTGCTCAACATAACTATGTACTTAGTTTGTTTATTTAATACCCAGGAGCAGAGAAGAAGATTTTCAAAGAATTCATGTATTTTCACTTTATAATCAATAGAGCCCCGCCCTAACACCAGATCCCCTGACCCTGGGGCCATAAAATTCACAATTTTGGTAGAGGCACTCTTGCTCATCATAACTATGTATTTAGTTGGTTTATTTAATACCCAGGAGCAGAGATTTTCAAAGAAATAATGCATTTATACTACCTAATTATTTAGCCCCGCCCTAGCACTAGAACCCCTGACCCCAGGGCCATGATTTTCACAATTTTGGTAGAGAACGCATTGCTTATTACAATCATGCAAACAGTTTGACAGCTTGATGTTCAGGAGTAAAGAAGAAGATTTTTAAAGATTGCATTAATTTTAGTGGTTTTGGCCCAACCCCTCAGGCCCCAGGGGGGCAGGGATCATGAAATTCACAATTTTTGTTTCCCTTCACCCATAAATGCTTTGTGCCAAATTTGGTTGAAATTGGTTCAGTGGTTGCAGAGAAGAAGCTGAAATTGTTCAAATGTTAACGCACGACGCACGACGACGGACGAAAAAAGATAGCAATAGGTCACCTGAGTTTACTCAGGTGACCTAAAAATATACAAACAATAAAGGATAAAAAAAGGAATTGGAAAATATAAGAGAACATAAACTTATGGGAAATATTATAAGGTCTAGATTTAAATGGATGAATGAAGTAGAAAAACCTACTAATTACTTTCTAAACCTTGAGAACAGACACTATACAAATAAAATAATCCCTAAATTGATTAAAGATGAATCAATAGATTCCGAAATAACAAATCAGAAAGATATTCTTCTTGAAATTGAAAAATATTATAAAACACTTTATGAGGCTAATTCTGAGATGACAGATATTGATCTAAGTGATCATACTTTGGACATTGCTGCAGAAAAACTTAGTGATGCACAAAAGAATAGTCTTGAAGGGGAGATAACTTTAAATGAAGCATTACTGGTTTTGAAAAACATGTCAAATAATAAAAGTCCTGGAAGCGATGGTTTTAAAACAGAATTCTTCAAAGTTTTCTGGAAACAGCTAGGAATTTTCATAGTAAGATCAATAAATTATGCTTACAAAAAAGGAGAGCTTTCTGTAACACAAAAACAGGGAATTATTACTTGTATACCTAAAGAAGGAAAAAGTAAATTTTTAATAAAAAAAAATTGGCGCCCAATATCTTTATTAAACGTTGTTTATAAAATAGCTTCTGGCTGTATAGCAAGTCGAATGAAAAATATCTTGAATTCAATTATAAGTTCAGACCAGTCAGGTTTTGTACCGGGAAGACACATAGGAGAAAAAACCAGGTTAATTTATGATCTAATGCATTATACAGAAGAAAGAACTATCCCTGGAATGTTGTTAATGATTGATTTTGAAAAAGCATTTGACACAGTGTCATGGAATTTAATTGATAAAGCCCTAAAATTCTTTAATTTTGGTCCTTTTCTGAGGAGATGGATTTTATTATTTTATTGTAATATTGTGTCAGCAATTAATCAAGCAGGCCACCTGTCTAATTTCTTTAAACTAGGCCGTGGTTGTCGCCAGAGTGATCCAATTTCTACATATATATTTTTGCTATGTGCAGAAATATTAGCTTTAAAAATAAAAAATAATAAAATATTAAAGGGATTAAAATTAATGGGGAGGAATACCTAATGTCTCAATATGCGGATGACACACTAGTTATATTAGATGGAACAGAACAATCCTTAAGAAATTGCATTGAAGAAATAGATAAATTTTATAAATTATCTGGACTTAACATTAATCTCCCTAAAACACAAATAGTCTGGATAGGAAGTAAAAAAATATTCAAATGAAAAACTACTTAATGAAATGAACTTTCAATGGACAACACAATTTAAAGTACTAGGTATTTATTTTGATGTTGACTTAACTAGAGTTCCAAAACTCAACTATGACAAGAAATTGGTCAAATTAAGAATATAATACTACAGTGGAGTAAAAGACGTACTACTCCTTTGGGTAGGATTTCACTGATAAAATCACTATTAATACCACAATTAAACCATCTTTTTATTGCTTTACCTTCACCTTCTGAACATTTTGTTAAAAATCTAAATTGTGTTCTATTTAATTTTCTTTGGAAATCAAAAGTGGACAAGATAAAAAGAAAACAAATTACTCATGATTACAAGAGTGGAGGATTGAATATGATTGACTCAAATAACTACATTAAGAGCTTAAAATCATCTTGGATTAAAAAACTACTCAACGGGCAGGATTTTAAATGGAGATCACTGGTTCAAAAATCTTTTAATATCAAAAAGCTATGTGATATTGGTTCATATTATATTGAAATAATATTACAAAGTATAACTAATGACTTTTGGAAAGATACTTTAATTGCTTTCAAAAATATAGAAGACAAAATGAAAATAGGGTCATGGGAAGATTTTATCACTCAACCATTATGGTACAATAAAAAACTTAAAATTGACAATAAGCCCATTTTTTACCACAAATGGTTTATGAATGATGTATTTATCTCAGATTTGTTAGATGAAACAGGATCTTTTTTAGAATTAGAGGATCTAAATATAGAAACCAACTTTTTATCATATGCAAGTTTACAGAAAGCAATAAAAGAAGCGATGGCTGTAGAAAAAGTAAACAAAGAAAGATTAAACCCAAGGCCCATTCTACCTTTTTATTTAAAATTATTCTATGTAAAAAAGGAACAAAAGCTATGTATAAAATTTTGAATACAGAACACATAGTACCTTTTTCAAAAGTAAAATGGAGTAAACATTTTGAAATTCAAGATTCCCTATGGGAAATGATATACAATATTCCTTTTCAATGTACAAAAAGTTCTAAATTGCAATGGCTGCAATTCAGAATAAATCAGCATATTTTGGTTACAAATAAAACGTTTTATAAAATAGGTTTGAAGGATACTAAACTATGTACAATGTAGCTTCTGTGAGACATGTAAGGAAACAATTTTTCATATTATATGGGAATGCAAGAAGGTTCAGGAGCTTTTACATAGTTTTACTATTCTCTGTGAAGCTCATAATATAGAGTTTCCAAACGATAGTGCTAATTTCATTTTTTGTAAATCCTAAACCCAACAATAGTGAATTAAATACAATATTTTATGTATTAAATCATTTATATATAGAAATAAATGTCGAAATGAGGTTTTTAGATTACAAGCATTACGTGGAGATATTAAAACATTAATATCTACAATGAAATATAGTGCAACAAAGAATAATCAAATTAATGAATTTAACACTAAATGGAAAGACTGGCTTTCACTCATGTAGACCCTGAAACCAGACACCTAGAGACCTTTTGCAATGCTTGGACATAAATATGCCACAACTTTACTCCTATGAACATGCTCTTGTTTCTTTACCATTTCTCAACCCCCTTTTTCTTTCTCTCTTCCTTTCTTTCTCTTTCCCCTATTCAATTGTCACTATTATATTTTTTTGTATTTGTTTATTATATGTATTAATGATGTATTGATATTGTAAACACAATGATGTGACAATTGATATTAATAAAAGAAAAAAAGGGGGGGGGGGTAAATTGGCGTAAACTCTGATATAAAGTGTTCTGAAGGAAATGATTGTTTTCTATATAAAACCGGTTAAAAATGAATAAAATTTATATACCACAAATAAAGAGGCTATAATCATTTTATGATATCTTAAGTATCGCTTACTATATAGACAGTACAAATACTAAACAAAAACCCTAACAAATATTGTCAAAACTCGACAAAAAAGCGACGTTGGCCGTCCGCACGGGGCAGCGTCCGATCAAAAAAAGTTTTAATACGGTTGAAACGATGTAAGAGACAAAATATTTGTTAAAGCAACTCAAAGTTATGGAAATATGTATAGTGTATTGATTTAAGATTGGTATAAATTATACGATTTTTCTACGGTGTGTACAAATCTAAAGAAAAAAACAAGAATTCAAACAAACATGTAATTTACTGAAAATGGAGATTTTCTATTCATGACGTTGTTATAAATCTAGTGCAGCGTCGGACTTGGCTGTGCAGTTTGTGTATACAAACTGTTTATTTTTATGCCGCTCGTAAATTTTTGTCCATTGTTTTGAATTTTAAAAATTAAATAAATTATAATCTATACTTAAAAATTGTTGCTAAAACTTGGAAGTGCGTTGCGCCTTATAAAGGAAATGTACTGTGTGTCCATGAACGTGTGTTAAGCTTAAATCCAAATGTTTGACGTTATAATGAAATTAGCTTAACGTCAGACTGGTTCGTGCGCACTATGTGCGATATTTAAAGACCCCTATTTTTACAAAAAATATTAAGTTTCATCAATAAAAATAAATCATTCTGACTTGGTTTATCATAAGAAATATTTTGATATACAATAGATGCATATAGAACCATTTATTTTTAACAAAAACGTCATTGCCCACGAACTTTTTGGACAACCCTCGTACATTTATGTTGCTTTTTAAAAATTTTGCACGAAAATACACTTTTTAAAAAATCTGGAAATTATTGAAACTTCGAATTTCGGGACGGCTTGTTAACATATCTTTGCTTTTTCACAAAGTAAAATTTATTGTTTAGACTAAAGATACGTAGAAATTTTGTTGTGTATATATAATAAATATTAAAAACTACAATCAAGAAAATTCACAATATAAATGTGAGAAGGCAAAACCAACTCACCAGTAGTATTGTCATTCCATGATCGGTATTTTGTACAGTTTAACAATGAAAATAACCTATGAAACGTTTACTTTATTTCTAAACATTACCATCGCTCTGTTATAATATTGTTAATACAACAGTTACTTGTATGTTATACCTTGGCAAATAAGTCCAGCATCTTTCACTAAACTATCCAACATCCCATCTATGGATAAATGACAATCTAATATATTAAGCTCGTTTCCTGAACATTTTAAGTCCTTCATCCAAACTCGATTATCCAAGCGTCCAAAATATTCTGATTGAACAGCCAAAGCTTTCCGTCTAGTATATAGAAAGTTTACATATTATAAAATATTATGAAGATGAACATAACATTTATAGATAGAAAAATAAAATTATGATATATAATTAAATTATTATCTATCTGAAAACGTCAGATCGAATTGAAAGTGCAGAAAGTTTTGTTCATCTGCAGAGAACACATAAGGTGAACAAATACTTATTTTTCCTATTGAGGACTTAAAATAGATCCATCGAGAACTGATACAATTTTTTACTACATTCGATCAAAACAAAAATCGAGAAATTCAAAATGAATAAAACTAGCTGCGTTTCTTAAATGCACGTTTATCTCAATCAATGTTCGACTCGGGCCTAAACAAAGGATGATGTGACATACGGTCCCAAGTAAATTGACAAAAAAAAAACAAATTTCCTAATTTTACTCTACTCTTTGCACATATTCACTGATATGTGTACCCTAATTGAATGCTACTTTTATCAAAAGCAGAAAAGTAATTTGGAAGGTATTACATGTATCTCTACCATGAGTAGGGATACAGTGTTGTCATGCTATAATCAATTTCCATTGATTTTTTGCCCCGCCCAACTTTCTGGAGTTCTTAAAATATACGAGCGCAAGTGTATATTTTTCTCCTTTGGCTGGTCATTGTACATGTATATTTTTCTTAAAATCTATTTATATGTGAAAGGAGAAAAAATATCTTATTGCGCTCTATGATAAATAAAATGTAAAATCTAGCTGGCCTTTCCCATTATGAAAAAATCGACGAAGCTATTTTTCGGGCGTAAGAATAAATTCATATACTAATGGAGGCACTGTTCGATACTCTCTAGCTGACCAATCAGCTAAATGAGTTGGATTATGAGTGAGTACCACAAAAATACTAAGGAAATTTTATGTTTGAAAATTTTCTTTTTATCTGCTTTCCGTCAACATTTTCTTTTGCATTTGAGTCAAAGACACGGATCTATTATACAGTTTCCCAGCTCACATAATTACAAACAATTAATTTATAAAAGAACATATTGGCATAAACCAAGCTGAATATAGCTGGCATAGGGCCTAAAAATCACATATAACGCAGTAATCACATCATTATAATTAAAATGTGTTGGAACTATTATGACTATGAAAACTCGTATTTATTCACTCATGTTAGAAAACCATCATAATCGTTGTAGATTAAATATAATTCGTCATATAAAAAAGCGCCAAGATAGCTGTTATGTCACATCATCCTTTAAATCACAAGAAAAGAAGAAAAATAATTTCATCGATTTATTTAAGCTCTTTATCATAGAAACTGAAATAATAAGACAATCTTTGGTATTTTAACCTAATTAATGATTTTAAAATCCTCAAAGTACAATATTCATCTCTCTCTTCGGGCTCGGTGAATAATGTACCCCCACAGAAAGCTAATTTTTACATACACTGAATATTATTCGCTTAATTTATTTCTTATGAAGATCATTGGCATTAAGCAGTGCATGAACAACTCTCAGCAAGCCACATTTGTAGTTTTCTTGAACAATGGCTGTTCCATAATTTTTACATACAATGACATATTCATCTTAAAAACAATAGTTAACAAAAAATTTATTTTACTTTGAATGATTTTTGATACAGATGTAAATATAAACAATAAAATGATTTCTTTGTGTCTTAGACCTCTTGAATATTTCTTTTCATTATATTTTGCAGATACCAATCTTTAAAATGGTTGCAAATTATACATTTTAAAATTTGATGTACTTACGAATAAAAACCGAGCTGCCGACAGACCACAGCTGCCTCTTCTTCTCCCCAACTATCTGCATCTAAAGTTCCCCATTCATTACCCAGAAAAATACGTAAAGTTCCATACCAGCTTCCATTGTTTACTTCTAGCACATTTTCAATATCTATAAAAAAAAGCGTTATAGTTAGGCCATTCATTTTTTTTTGCGACCGGATGGATAGATCCAGGGCGTATATTGTTTTGTCCTGTCTGTTTAACTGTTTGTCTGCCTGTCTGTTGTCAACTTTAACCTTCGCCAAAACTTTTGAACCATAAGAGATAGAGACTTCATATTTGGAATGCATACTCCACTAATAAAGTTCTTTCAAATGACATCAAGATCAATGACCTTGTGACTTTGACTGTGACCTACATGCTAAAATAGCTTTTTCCACTGCTTGTCATAACTTTTGAACCATAAGAGATAGGGACTTCAGATTTGGTATGCATACTCCACTAATAAAGTTCTTTGTAATGACATCATGGTCAATGACCTAGTGACCTTGACTGTGACCTATATGCTAAAAATAGCCTTTTTCACTTTTTGCCATAACTTTTGAACCATACTTTATATTTAATATGCATACTTCACTAATTAAGTTCTTTCAAACAACACCAAGGACAATGACCTTGTGACCTTGACTGTGATTTATATACTAAAAATAGCTTTTTCGAATTTTGTTGGCGCCAGGCGCATATTGTTTCACAAACACACCTTTTTTTATATATATATAAAATAAAGGCGTATATATGTGTGTGTGTTTGTATGCATGTAAACTGTGATAATGAGATATACATGTATTTATGTGTTAGGAAGTGTGTGAGAAAAAGAAAGAGAGAAACCTGCACAAATAACACCGGCTTCTTTTCTCTTGAAAATTCTTTCTGCTAAGACTTCAACTTGACAGCTTAAAATCTGCATCTCTGAAGAACACGGATCCTTTATTTTTAACCATGTTAAGGTCGGTGATATTCCATAAAGATTGTTGATTACAGCCAAACCTTTTTTACTGGAAAAAAGTCACATTCATATATATATATATATATATATATATATATATATATATATATATATATATATATATATATATATATAAAGCACAAATTACAACAACTCTTAAACTAATATAACTGCCCTAAGTGAAGGAATATTAATATAGAAAGCACAGAGAAATTCACTTTTACAAGGATACTCACTTCCGCCCCAGCCCGGGGTTGAACTCTCGACCTACGGAATCTGTCTCCTAGCAGTGCAGGAACAGCGCGTTAGACCGCTCGGCTATCTAGGCAAGTTAAAAAAACTTGCTTTCGATGCCGATGGAATTCTCACAACGCTGCCCTACACTACACGGTCATTGAGAATGGAAGTGAGATACAGTTATTTGGACATTAGTTTTTAGAGGATCGTTACCAATACATGTTGTGATGAAATTAATTTTATTTATAAAGCACAAATTACAACAACTCTTAAACTAATATAACTGCCCTAAGTGAAGGAATATTAATATAGAAAGCACAGAGAAATTCACTTTTACAAGGATACTCACTTCCGCCCCAGCCCGGGGTTGAACTCTCGACCTACGGAATCTGTCTCCTAGCAGTGCTTTCTATATTAATATTCCTTCACTTAGGGCAGTTATATTAGTTTAAGAGTTGTTGTAATTTGTGCTTTATAAATAAAATTAATTTCATCACAACATGTATTGGTAACGATCCTCTAAAAACTAATGTCCAAATAACTGTATCTCACTTCCATTCTCAATGACCGTGTAGTGTAGGGCAGCGTTGTGAGAATTCCATCGGCATCGAAAGCAAGTTTTTTTAACTTGCCTAGATAGCCGAGCGGTCTAACGCGCTGTTCCTGCACTGCTAGGAGACAGATTCCGTAGGTCGAGAGTTCAACCCCGGGCTGGGGCGGAAGTGAGTATCCTTGTAAAAGTGAATTTCTCTGTGCTTTCTATATTAATATTCCTTCACTTAGGGCAGTTATATTAGTTTAAGAGTTGTTGTAATTTGTGCTTTATAAATAAAATTAATTTCATCACAACATGTATTGGTAACGATCCTCTAAAAACTAATGTCCAAATAACTGTATCTCACTTCCATTCTCAATGACCGTGTAGTGTAGGGCAGCGTTGTGAGAATTCCATCGGCATCGAAAGCAAGTTTTTTTAACTTGCCTAGATAGCCGAGCGGTCTAACGCGCTGTTCCTGCACTGCTAGGAGACAGATTCCGTAGGTCGAGAGTTCAACCCCGGGCTGGGGCGGAAGTGAGTATCCTTGTAAAAGTGAATTTCTCTGTGCTTTCTATATATATATATATATATATATATGTAATCATTTTTTTTTCTTGGAATAGGGATATATATGTTGAGAAGTCCTTGGCATTACCCCTTTAATCCAATCTGTTTGCACACAATATTAGCTTTAGAATGTGTCCATGTGCTTGCGTCAATTCCTCCCCATTCACTATCAAGATATACCTCCACTCGTCCTGCTATGCTAGCATTGTGCAGGCGTACTCTAAAATCTGTGTCATCTATCAAAAATAAGGTATTAAATTTGTTAATAAAAATGCTATTTCAAAGCTACCGAAATTGAAGCTATGGTAAAATTTCATCAAGCTCATATCGCAAACGCTTTTTAATTTAATCTCTAAAAAATCATAACATAATTGGTGTCCTTTGCAACTGCTTTAAACTCACCAGTACAAACTACACCTGCAGATCCAGAGTTATATTTTCCTGATATCTGGTTTGCACAATCAATGAAACTGCTTTCTGTTCCGGAACAACTGACACGTACGAACCACTCCCATTCGCTGAATCCAAAGACGTCGTTAAGAACTGGTATCGCCCTAGAACTGAGTGTAAAAAATACCAACTTACTGTTTTCTTTGGAAGACGGTATATACATGTAGAGTTAAAGCTGTTTACAGTCTTTGGACCATGCACTTCCCCTTTATTCTTGTTGACCTGGACTCAAAGACTTTGGCAAGTCTCCGCATACGTCAACATATACTATATCTACTCATTATTTGCTACTGAACTGGACAGATATAAAAGAGGAAAACTAGAAACGCATACTATTTTATCAATATTTATAAACACACAATGAGATGATGTATTATTGGAACGCACAATTTAGTGTACAAAAATTTCAACTATCATAACAGACTCGGTTGATTAGCCTGAAAGTATATTAAATACTCTGAAGGTTTCTCGTCATACCGGTACTCGTTGCTTACATAATCCCAGACGTCTTTTGATCTTTTATTTAAAAAAAAATCCGCACATCTTTTTCCATCGGTCAATCCCTGATCATGCCATGTGTTCACTTTTTATAATTAGGTTGTCGCTCACAGTGTACTGCATACTATCCTCTTAGCAAAACCATTATCTCTAAAGCGTTTGTAAGACTCTCTAGGCCAAATCGTCAATGTACAAACTAGAAAATAATGGAAGTAAAAGCATTTTTTCTCTATTTACGTCACAAGTCACATGGTGTGAAGGACCCTTATGAGCTAATGTCGCTCTTTTATGCTGAATCCATTACTTTCTATAAAATTTGGTATGGTATCCCTCCTTTAACTCGCTTTTGAAAAAAAAATTAAAAATATAACGAATTTTTTCAATATCTTTATGATTAAAATTTCTTTTTCTTCATGCCAGCAGTGGATTGATTGTTAATTCCATTATACATGTACTTGTTTTATATCGTAGGACTTATGTCTGTAAAAGCCCTTTCAAAAATACAAAGCCAAGATCTACAGCAAATAATTTATCATTACGCTCGAATATGTGTATGTCAGTTTTTTATTTATGGTTGTTAAGAAATACAGCAGAATATTCTTGAAAAATCTATACTGTGTAACATATACTGCGTTTCCTTATTACCGGAAAATTTTAATTGACTTCTTTTTTATTTGCACCCTCTTAAAGCCGCTTGGTCCGATTCTAATCGCTATGAAATATATTTGTTTTTCTTCTTGAAAAATAATTGTCCATAAATTGTTTTACCTTTTGTCAAATTATATCCCCAAAGTCTTTTTCTTTTAAAAGATATCAAAATTCAAAAGTTAAAAAAATATTTTTTGTTAGGTCACACTAAAAATAATCGTATGTTGATATCGCGTGAAATCCCCTTCGAAAAACTAAATTTATCGCTTACATGTATATCTCATAAAGAACGAACCCCAATCTAATTAAAATTAGATGTTAGATCCGCTCGCATACTCGCTACACTAACATCTAACAACATCCAATAGAGGGTCACGTCAGAGGTCAAATTCTATCAACCAATCAAATCGTCTCTTGCAAAATCATCTTTTATTTGTTGACGATATTGAAGAGAATAAGTCTAGAGTTGTTCCGAATTTGACCTCTGACGTGACCCTCAATGGGAATTTGTTAGATGTTTGTGTAGAAAGTTTGCGAGCGGATCTAACATCTAATTTTAATTAGATTGAACGAACCCGAGCATTTTTTTTTCACAACAAAGTACTTATACCTGTACACGGACAATATTTTAGCCTTCTTTACTAAAACTCCTTTAAAAAAATATCTGATTTTCCTTTATTCTTTAAAAATGCATATTGATATAAAATTACTAAGGATTATATTCCATGACTTAGGACTAAGGTTCTACTTATTGAAAAAAAAATTCGGGTTTGAATTATCTTCATAATAAGATAAAACCAATAAGTTCATCTTTTTCAAAGGTGACTTCACAACAGATCTTAACTTCCTGTCAGGAACTACTGTTTGTCAATAATGTTTTTGATCTATGGTTGTCACGGATTGTTGTAATAAACTATTAAATCAATCTTATAATTTATTTTTATATCTTATCTATGTAATGACGTACTTTTATTGTGTAAGATAATATGTGCCTGTTTCGGATCAAGCGGCTTTAAAGTAATCAAAATAGCTGAAAATTATTATTCATAGTTTATGCAGCCATGCTATTAAAGGGAATTTTAAATTCAATATATATACTGAAAAATGGAAATATTTTTATGCGCCCGAATCGAAAGATCCGAGGCGTATATTGTTTTTGTCCTGTCTGTTTGTCTGCAAACTTGAACCTTCATCATAACTTTTGAAATGAAAGAGATTTCATATTTGGTATTCATACTCCACTAATTAAACTCTTTCAAATGATACCAAGGTCAATGACCTCGTGACCTTGACTGTGACCTTTATGCTAAAAAAAGTTTTTTCTGCCAACTTGAACCTTCGCCATTCTTTTTTAACCATAAAAGATAGAGACTTTATATTTGATAAGCATACACTACTGATTAAGCTCTTTTGAATGACACCATGGTCAATGACCTTGTGACCTTGACTGTGACCTATACGCTAAACATAGCTTTTTTGTCGGCAAAATTTAACCTTCGCCATAACTTTTGAACGAAGATTGATTGTATACTGATTAACGTCCCTCTCCAGAATATTTCACTGATATGGAGACGTCACCATTGCCGGTGAAGGGATGCAAATTTAGGCCTATGCTCGGCACTTACGGCCTATGAGCAGGGAGGGATCTTTGTCGTGCCACACCTGCTGTGACACGGGGCCTCGGTTTATACGGTCTCATCCGAAGGACCGCCCCATTTAGTCGCCTTTTACGACAAGCAAGGGGGTACTGAGGACCTATTCTAACCCGGATCCCCACGGGGGTTACTATTAATATTAATATTTGGCATGTATACTCCACTAATTAAGTCCTTTCACATGATACCAAGGTCAACGACCCTGTGACCTTAACTGTGTCCTACGTGCTAAAAATATCTTTTTTGAACCTTCACCATAACTTTTGAACCATGAGAGATAGAGACTTCATATTTGATATGCATACTTCACTAATCAAGTTCTTTCAAATGACACCAAGATCAATGCATTTGTGAGCTTGACTGTGACTTATATGCTAAAAATATGCTTTATCGAATCTTGTTTCACAAACACAACTTTTTTTAATGTTCTCAATAGTATTGAGCCATCAAGAAACTTCTAGAAACTCGTTATCTTTTTTTCCTTGTATCCTGCATTACAAAAAGTTGCTGAAATTATCTTTGGAAACTATTTGTAGTGTTCATAGACTGGTACCCTGACATCGGTTAACGGGCGCAAGCGCCCTGAAAAACCAACAACTGTCCTTGTAATTCCTAGCGGCAGCGACTGGAATCAAAGGCAGAGAACCAGTGCTATAGTGTTCATTATCTTCATCCTTTTCAGTATACTAAAACGGAAATAGATTTTTGAATCAAGATTCACCATAAAGAAAACACGATTTTCATCATCCTACAGATGTCTACATGTTTTATTCTTGATTCTTCTCAAAACAATATTTGTTTTTTAACTTCCAACAGTCAAAGATCTTAAGAATATACTCCATTTTATAAAGTGCATCTTATATATACATGTAAGTCCTTACTAGGGTTTCTGTAATTCCTTGCAAAACATAGAAGCCGTCTTTTCCGTCCAGGCGTTTTTATCAATTCCACCCCATTTGTCATCCAAGAGAATTTCAACCCTACCTGCAGATGTATTTGAAGCTGTTCGAAGTTGTATTTTATCTTTGTCTACAAAAAAGGATATTTTTGACTTGTGAAAAAATTATCTATTTTGTCTCATTTTTAAAGAATTATTATTTATTAAACTACATATAGCTGATCATAAAAAACACTAAAAAAAGGTTTTTCTTTCATTATTAAAAAAAAATTGCATAATATTTTAATTTACACTATTATCTTTATCATTATTTACAGTTATCAATTATCAATGCTGAATAACAAAGGTTAATAACTTTCCTCAGAGGAATACAAATTAACAAAGCCCTAGTGCACAAGAGCACGAGTTATGTCCAAGACACAATGTAGTTACGATATCGACACATTACTTTTTTTTTTATAATTTACTATAATATTTCTCTATTCTTGTGTGTTTTTAACAATACTTCCTGTATTTAACATGTGTTATTTAAAAATCATTAAAAAAAATTTCTTGTAGTATCGATTTCGTTGATATCGACCATGTCGCTTTGATATAGAATCATGTTTGCTCAGCCCTTGATAAATACCGTCAATGTTACTTTGTGTGTGTGTTTATATTTAATCCCTTTACTTATACAAAGATTGTATCTGCAATCGATATCGTCGACATCGTATCGATATCGAATCATGAATGTTAAAAACATAATACTTCACCCTAAAAGAAAACCTTTATTTTTAACATATCCCAAGACAATAACTTCTGTGTTTCTTCTTGCAACATTTGTGTATATTTACTTTCTGATTAATAAGTTTACCCTACTGTCGATATCGACGATATCATATCGATATCGAATCATGATTGTTAAAACATATTTTACAACTTTCACCCCTAACCCAACATCTTACTCTAAACATAATCCAAAACAATAACAACCCCAAACCCTTTCTTAATCATAATTTATTTTCATATTCATGCTAATTATGATTCAATTTTAACATCACTTGTGACTTTGTAAAATTATGCTTTAGGCTACCTTATTCTGAAAAATAAATTGTACAAATAGGATCGATATCGATACGATCTCGTCATGATAGTGTTGATATCGACGACATCGACATAGCACAAAGTCTTATATATGGAACCAAGTATTTCCAATCAAAAGTACTGATCACGATCGAAATTGATACTATATCGACATAATATTGTCGATATCGTCGATATCGACATCGAATTCTTTCTAAGAGATGTATGGAGAGCACTGACCAAAGAATTGAAAATTCACATATCAGTAGAGCCCCCTCCCCTCTCACCCCTGTGACACCAGAGGTCTGTTCAACAGAGCGTCTTTTGGAGGTATAAAGAAATTTGGCAAGCACTCGTGAACGTTGACTTCGTTCTGTTGAACAGGTCTCTTAATCTCTGATAAATGAACCACAAGCATCAAGAACTTGAAGTAAGAACTAAGAGATAATAATTGGGAATTAATGAAAATTTGGTGGCATATTTTAAAAATCTTCTTCTCAAGAACCACTGTGCTAGGAAAGATGAAACTTATAGGGAAACATCCTCAGGTAGTGTAGATTCAAGTTTGTTCAAATCAAGACCCCCGGGGGTAGGGCGGGGCCAAAATGGCCCACCAAAGTTTTACACAGAAATATATAGGAAAATTCTTTAAAAATCTTCTTCTCAAGAATGACAAAGCCATAATTCATCATATTCATATGGAAGCATGTTCAGGTAGTGTAGATTCAAGTTTGTTCAAGTCATGACCCCCAGGGGTAGGGCGGGGCCAAAATGGCCCACAAAGTTTTACATAAAAATATATAGGAAATTTCTTTAAAAATCTTCTTCCCAAGATTGACAAAGCCATAATTCATCATATTTATATGGAAGCATGCTCAGCTAGTGTAGATTTAAGTTTGTAAAAGTCATGACCCCCGGGGGTTGGGCGGGGCCAAAATGGCCGACTAAAGTTTAACATATAAATATATAGGAAAATTCTTTTAAAATCTTCTTCTCAAGAATGACAAAGCCATAATTCATTATATTTATATGGAAGCATGCTCAGCTAGTGTAGATTCAAGTTTGTTAAAGTTATGACCCCCGGGGGTAGGGCGGGGCCAAAATGGCCGACTAAAGTTTTACATAGAAATATATAGGAAAATTCTTTAAAAATCTTCTTCTCCAGAATGACAAAGCCATAACTCATCATATTCATATGGAAGCATGTTCAGGTAGTGTAGATTCAAATATGTTCAAGTCATGATCCCCCTGGGGTAGGGCGGGGCCAAAATGGCTGACCAAAGATTGACATAAAAATATATAGGAAAATTCTTTAAAAATCTTCTTCTCAAGAATGACAAAACCATAATTCATCATATTTATATGGAAACATGCTCAGCTAGTGTAGATTCAAGTTTGTTCAAATCATGACCCCCTGAGGTAGGGCGGGCCAAAATGGCTGACCAAAGTTTAACATATAAATATATAGGAAAATTCTTTAAACATCTTCTTCTCAAGAATGACAAAGCCATATATCATCATAATTATATAGAAGCATGCTCAAGTAGTGTAGATTCAAATTTGTTCAAATCATGACCCCCAGGGGTAGGGTGGGGCCAAAATGGCCGAACAAAGTTTTTAAAGATATATATAGGAAAATTCTTTAAAAATCATTTTCAAAAAAAAAAAAAAAAAGCAAATCCATGATTGGTCATGGGACTACTTTTATATTTAAACTTTACAATAAAAAGCCATTTTCTACTTTTTCCTACTCTTAGTGCTCAGGTGAGCAATGTGGCCCATGGGCCTCTTGTTTGTTTGTTGTTTTTTTTAAGATGATTATAGGTCAAATTTTCTGTAACCTAGAGCATTGTACAAACACTTGGACGTCCGGTCCACGGACTGTCATTAATGCATATGATACGTAAGAGCCTATTGAGGTGTAATGTATTTTAAAACAAAAAAAGGGACCTGTTCTCAATGGATACTGTAATCACATATTTTCGTTGGGTCAAATTTTCTTGGTTTTTGGGAAAAAAATATTGAGTAGTTGTTACATTTTACATTTCATTCTGAATTCACACCACGAAAACAACAAACATTAACCACCACACGAATACTTGTGATGTCACAGTGTACGTGTGAAATATGAAAGACCAAACATTGATCATTAAAAGGTTATGGCGATGCTTAATTTTTTTTTTATCAAAATGTGGGTCAAGATAAGAGAAGCAAATGAAAGTTATCCAAGGCAAGACCTTATATTAAAGCAATACACATGTGAAATATTAAAACTAACACGACTGTTCTAATGTTATGATGAAGGTATTTTTAAAAAGTAGGTCAAACTCAATGTTCAAGGTCAAAAGTTTAAAAATATCTATTTCCTTGGAAAAGTATACACATATCTAGACGTACAGATAAAAGTTATACATGTATAACTAATTGTTAAAAGGTTATGGGTAAATTCATGCACAACTTGGATGAAACCCAAGGTCAAGGCCACGAGTTCAATATATTGACAAACGAAGAAAGGCCTTGTCACAAGGAATATACATGTGAAATATGAGAGCCAAAGCCTCAACCATTCAAAATTGGAGGGCAATTTTAAAGTTTTTGCAGACAAAAAAACGGGCAGGGAGAAACTATATATACCAAGAATCTTCAATTACGGGGTAAAATTCAAAGAATAAAATAAAATTAATGTATTTTCACTATAAAATCAACAGAGCCTCCCTCCCTCTCACAGAAGCCCTCACCCATGGGCCATAAATATAATTTTGGAAGATGCACTCTTGATCACCATAACCATGCATCTAGTTGATATAGTGTGTATACAGGGAGAGAGAAGATTTTGGGGAATAAATACGCTTAACCTTTTAAATATATAATTACTAGAGCCCTACAAATAATTACTCTTAATGACCCAGGGGTCATGAATTTCAACATTTTATAAATATATGTAGAGGATTCATTTCTTATTACAACCATACCAACAGTTAGACTTCTTGATGCCAAAGACAGTTTTAATTTTTTTAATGCCAATCCCTAAGATCTCGGGGTAGGGGTGGGCAATTTTTGTTCCCCTACACTTAGAGATGCTCTTTCCTAAAATTGTTGAAATTGATTCATTGGTTTTAGAGAAAAGGATGAAAATGTTCAAATGTAAATGCACATCGCACGATGTACATCGCCAGATAATTAAGAACAAATATAGCAATAGCTCACCTTAGTTACTCAGAAGACCTAAAGAATCAATGTAGAAGCTTTAGGACTTATTACATATTATTATATTATCAGGAAACCAGTGTAACAGACAGACAGAATGATAAAACAAGAGGCCCATGGGCCTTATAGGTCACCTGAGAATTATGCAACAACTTTCCAGTGATTGAATTTGATTCATGTTTTAAGCCTGATGCTATGGCATTCACAATTTTGAAAGAGGCACCATTGATCATCATAACAATACACTTAGCAGTTGCTTAGTTTGTTTACTTAATACCCATACGCAGGGTAAGGGGAACAAAAAATGCATTTCAACTAATCAGTAATATTCAGCAATAATCAGTAATGCCCCTACCACACATGAACCCCAGACCCTTAGGCCTTGATATTTGATTAATACCAAGGAGAAGATTTCAAACCATTCATTCATTTTCAGTATATAAGTACAGCCCCCCCCTTGGTACCCCTGACCCTGGGGCCTTGAAATTCACAATTCTGGAAGATTAGGGCCCTTGTCACTCATAACTGTATAGGTAGTTCATCTGCTTAATACCCTGGAGCAGATTTACCCTTCAAAGATTTAATGTATTTTCACTATATAATCAAAAAAAATTTGGAAGAGGCATTATTGCTCATCATAACTATGTACTTAGTTATATGTAGTTTATTTAATTCCTAGGAGCAGATAAGAAGATTTTCAAAGAATTCATGTATTTTCACTATATAATCAATAGCCCCCCTAACACCAGAACCCCTGACCCTGGGGCCATAAAATTCATTATTTTGGTAGAGGCACTCTTGCTCATCATAACTATGCACTGAGTTAGTTTATTTAATACCTAGGAGCAGAGGAAAAGATTTTCAAGGAATTCATGTATTTTCACTATATAATTAATAGAGCACCGCCCTAACACCAGAACCCCTGACCCTGGGGCCATGAAATTCACAAATTTGGTAGAGGCACTCTTGCTCATCATAACTGTGCATTTAGTTAGTTTATTTAATACCCAGGAACAGAAAAGAAGCTTTTCAAAGAATTCAGGTATTTTCACTATATAATCAATACAGCCCAGCCCTAACACCAGAACCCCTGACCCTGGGGCCATGAAATTCACAAATTTGGTAGAGGCACTCTTGCTCATCATAACTATGCATTTAGTTAGTTTATTTAATACCCAGGAACAGAAAAGAAGATTTTCAAAGAATTCAGGTATTTTCACTATATAATCAATAGAGCCCAGCCCTAACACCAGAATCCCTGACCCTGGGGCTAAAAAAATTCACAATTTTGTTAGAGGTACTCTTGCTTATCAAAACTATACACTTAGTTAGTTTATTTAATACCCAGGAGCAGAGAAGAAGATTTTCAGAGAATTCATGTATTTTCACTAGAGCCCCGCCCTAACACCAGAACCCCTGACCCTGGGGCCATAAAATTCACAATTTTGGTAAAGGCACTCTTGCTCATCATAACTATGTACTTAGTTGGTTTATTTAATACCCAGGAGCAGAGAAAAAGATTTTCAAAGAAATAATGCATTTTCACTATCTACTTATTTAGCCCCGCCCTAGCACTAGAACCCCTGACCCTGGGGCCATGAATTTCACAATTTTGGTACAGGACTCATTGCTGATTACAATCATGCAAACAGTTTGACTGCTTGATGTACAGGAGTAAAGAAGAAGATTTTTAAAGATTGCATTTATTCTAGTGGTTTTGGCCCCACCCCTCAGGCCCCAGGGGGGGGGGCAGGGATCATGAAATTCACAATTTTTGTTCCCCTTTACTCATAGATGCTTTATGCCAAATTTGGTTGAAATTGGTTCAGTGGTTTCAGAGAAGAAGCTGAAAATGCTCAAATGTTAACGCACGACGGATGACGCACACCCGCACGACGCACGACGATGGACGAAAACAGATAGCAATAGGTCCCCTGAGTTTACTCAGGTGACCTAAAAATAGACGAACGGGCCAAGGTAGACATACATGTATTAACATCTCAACATTTTAGAAGATTTCAGTAAGAAATTTTGCAAGATGATCATACACTACATTATGCAAAATTAAATCTAAATTCATTGTTTAAATGACTTATATTGTGTACCTGTACATATTACACCTGCCATCGTAGAATCGTAGTATGATACCTCTCCCAGGGATATGTAACAATTAAGCAGCGATGTCTCTGTACCCAAACAGCTAATCCTTTGTAACCATCTCAAGGAATAAAGAGGACCAAACATGTTACTATGGACAGGAAAAGATGCGGAACTGAAAGAAGACTATTCCACTCATTAAGTTCTTCAAAACTATATTTTCCACTTCCATAAAAGTGGACATAATTCACGGTATTACGATATCACAGGCCTGTAATTTGCATTTTGACAGTGTTTCTTAGATGCACAACATATAAAACATTAATTGTGAGCAGTATCTGAGTTTTATAACTTTTAAAGGAGTAGAGCGTTAAATGGTATCAGTTTTGTAGAGCGAAATAGTTTGACTTCCCCCGGAAATCCTGCTCTTAACATGTCTTATAGTGAACCCTGCCCCTGGAGTGAAGACTCATACCCCCTTCCCCCTTTTAAAATGCAATATGTCAACCCAAGGACGAAGCCTCATTTTCGAGCTTTAATTCCCCCCCCCCCCCCCCAAGATTTGCTCAGAAAATCAGTTATATCAGTTTTTTTATAGTCGGACGTACGAAGAAAAAAAGACCAGTTAAACCTTAAATAATATCTTCCATTCTCAGTGAGAGGGGTGGCAATTACTGCATCGCATTTGATATGTAAATTACCTCTTTAGAGAGATTAAAGCACTTGTAAAAGCAAGATAGATTGAACGGGAAGACTTGCTATTGGGGAAGTCTGAATATATAAGTAGTATATAGTAAAGTACATATGTAGATCTTCCGGCAGGGTAGCGTGGCTTTAAAAGGGAAATTTCTTCAGGGGTCCTCCCGCTCTAAAGGAAAAAATTCATCCAGGGGGAAATCTCACTCTAAAAGTCTCACCGAAGACCAGACCACCGAGGGGAAGTTTGACTATGAGGGAAGTCTTAAGGCCGGTATACACATGATACACGGAAAGATTTGTATCATAATACAAAATCTTATTGTGTATACATGAATTGTACACTCTTAATAGAGATTGTTCTATCTGACGTATCCGTATCCGTATCCGTATCGAGATATGAAAGGCATCTCGATCCCGATGTCTCAACCATTTAATACAATTTCCGTCTCTGTTTGTGGTTAAATAAGCCACAGTCATGCATTGGAAAATAGCAAATGGCAATTTTTCTATTAGAAATACTTAACTTCTGTAAACATCATTTCGTAGAAAAATATTTATTAAAAAAAAAGAAAGAAAATGAATTAATAAATTTAAGTATAAAATATTTCATTTTAATTATTTTGTTTTAAAATTAAATTCATTTTGTTTCAAAATATTTGTAGGAAATCTCCTTTCTCTTTTTCCTCTCGCCTAATATCTGGGTATTTTATTGATATATTCCACTGTATAACGGAATACCCAGCGGAAAGGGCAAAAATTACCATAATGAGAAAACAAACAATTATTTTAATTTCAATGACCATAAAAACTTAACAAATGATATACAATGCATAATCAACAGACCTTTTCGCAGAACAAGTATACATTAAATCATAACAAACGAATATGTACGTAACAAACATATATGAATACAAAACCAACGATCATCTTTGCAGTAAAAACACGACAAACGAAAAAAACTTAACCAACTTGCACGCGGTAAATCTAGTCTTCCCTACTCCCGGCTCCCGACGGTATCGGATTTTTTTAAATTTCTTTTTTTGTCGGTGCACAGAAACTCTTCAAACTTCTCAGGTACATTTTCTTTTTAAATGAATTCAATAATATGTAAAAACTTAAACAAATTTGCGTATTTATTACTGAATCAGCAGAATCACCTTCAAAAAGAGGTAAATGTAGTACTCCGTTATAAATATGAAAACCAAAAACGGACATCAATACAGAGAGACTAAGTGTCGTAGATAGTAAATGTGTATGGGCACAGATTTGAAGTTAATATTATCTGTATAATATTACGACTTATATATTTTAATAGCATTTCACACAAAAAATATATTAAAAATCTTATTTCATCTAAAAGTTATTAAAACTTCAAATTTTTAGACGGGTTTGATTGACACATCCTTGCACTCTCACAAATTTTAAATTTATTCTTAGTACTTAGGAAAAGTGGCAATCTTGTTTCAATAACTTTAAGACGAAATAAATTCACTTCACAACTGTGTCCATGGAACTTTAAAAATATTTAACGTATAGATCTTGAGCAGATATTACTTATCAAAACGACTGAATTAGTATTTCAGTGAAAATTGGTGGTGTTAATAAAAAAATGAACAATTAAATTCTATAAAAATTCATAACATCAAAAGGATTTGATTTCAAAAAAGATTTTTATCAAAATCTTCATAAAAAAAGCTAAATCTAACATTGTACTTATGGTAAAATAATGCAAAATGAAAGTACTGCATTGTTATACATTGACGTAGCATCGTTTTTAAAAGGAGGGGGTAATCAAAGAAAAAAATTCAATCTAGCTGAAAAAAAGATTTTAAAAACTTAACAAGCAAAAACAAAAAGGAAATTTAAATGATATAGCCCAAACTCGAAAATGTGTGTGTGTGTGTGTGTGTGTGTGGGGGGGGGGGGGTTGTTAGGTTCAACTTCTTTCAGTGCCAATTTTTTTTCCTGATATACATGTACTACATAACCCTTTTTTGACCTTACTCTTAAAATTGGGAATTGTTGCTACGTACCTGTCATATGAGATATGCCACTGTAATGTAAAGTTATCATAATAGATTCTTGTAATATTTAAAGAATTGCGAAAACCAACTTATGTAAAAAGATCAACAAAAATTGACGAAACGGCCTTCAGGAGAATGAGATATTTTTCTGCATTTTATGTAAATTCTTTTCTTTCATTTTAAATTTTTAAGATGAATTAACCCTCCCCCCCCCCCCCCCCCCCCAAAAAAAAGTAAAAAAAAAAAATTAAGGGGGATCGTAAGTGTGTAGAACCACGTCCATGTTGTATAGCCTTGGAACATAAACATTATGTGGCAAAGAGTTCTATACAAAAAAATGTGTGAGGGAATTTCTGTGCATACAAATTATCTAGCATGTAAATGAGGGTTTTCATTTAATAAGAAATATAAACTGTACCTCAGTTTGTTGTTTTTAATCGCGATTCTACGAAAACATTTGTGTCCTTTTTTCAGTGGTTTTCGCATTTATAGCTGAGTACTAGATTTACCGCTTTTGGCATATGATAGTGCTGATTCAGTCATAAATACGCATATTTGTTAAAGTTTTTATATAATAATGAATTTTTTTAAACCTAGAAATTTGCCTGAGAAGTGTGAAGACTTTCTGTGCGCTGACAAAAAAGAAATCGGCAAGAAAAAAAGAGAAAGAAAACCGGACCGTCGGGAGCCGGGAGTCGGGAAGACTAGATTTACCGCGTGCACGTTGGTTAAGTTTTTTTCGTTTGTCGTGTTTTTATGTACGTTTGAACTGCAAAGATGGTCGTTGGTTTTGCATTCATGTATGTTTGTTACGTATTTATTCGTTGGTTTTGCTTTAATGTATATTTGTTCTGCGAAAAGGTCTGTTGATTATGCATTGTATATCGTTTGTTAAGTTTTTATGTTCTTTGAAATAAAATAATTGTTTGTTTTCTTATTATTGTAATTTTTGCCCTTTCCGCTGCCCATAGTATGATAAATACCCTCCCCCCTTTCACACACACTGAAATACAAAATAATTTATCATCAACGCGATTGATAATACACTGTAGCCGTTTTTAAAGAGACTATTCAAACTGATTTCATCATTCGCTTCAGGACCGTTACAAGTATTGAGTACATGCATTGAAGAGCCTGTTCAACTCCCTCCTTTCCCCTCCCCTCACTTTGGCGTCAGAAGCAAATTGAAAGTAGGAAGGGGGGCTAATTGAAAGAGAAAAATATAAGTCCTGAAAAACCCTGACATGCAAAAAAAGTACTTAACAGTATTTTTGTGTGTGTGGGCGGGGGGGGGGGGGGGGAGTATTCATCGAACTTTTTCATTGCCATTTTTTTAAAACTACCACTTACTATTCTTTGACTGCAATACAACATGCCTTTTGAAAGTGGAAAGGGGGCTTATCTTACGCCTGCAGCCCCCCCCCCCCCCCCGCCATTTCCGGCGTCTGTGCCTCACAATGTGCACACACGACATTTGATAAAGTCTTTTGACTATCATTCATTAACATCATTTGTGGTTTGATATAAAAACTATTTCAGAATATGGTATTGAAAAAATATAATCTCAAATCTATTTTTATGCTAAGATCAAAATAAATATGGCTCAAAATTTTCAAAATAATACATCTTATTTTGCCAAGTCTACTTGTTTGTCGTGCTAATTTTCTTCTCTTTTTTATCCGACTTCCTTTTTTTTTATACATACAATTTGGCCGAGATCGAGATCATTGTGCACAGTGAGGAGAAGGAACTGCTTCAATGTAGCCAAGAAAAAAATCACGCATTAAAAGAAAAATTACAGTGATGAAATACATGTATCAAAGATTTTCAGAGCTTGCATGCTTTGTTCACTATAAACTCGATCATGTAACTTTCATAAAAAGAAATTTAAGTTTAAGAAAGGAAGATACATCGTAACATAACATTTACTTTTCTCCCCCTTTATCGACAAGTGTTAAATCAATCGAGTACTACATATACTGCGTTTAATCGCAACACTGTACATAATCAAATCTCAAGCTCCTTGAAACCCTGGATACGCATAGGCGTCAGACCGGGGGGGGGGTGGATTTTAAGCCCCCCCCCCACTTTTTTGCAAAGATAAACATTAGACATAATATAGGCATTTAAAAGTGGGGTTTACCTTTTTTTTTGGTTTAGCCCCCCTTTTCAATTAACGCCACCCCCCCCGCTATTTGCCTGCGCCGCCCATGATACGGCTATCGACCTACAATTTAGGGATTGTATTTAAACCGCCCCAGAATTACCAGCTATCCATTTTTTTCTGGAGAACTATGACCATCAAATATGTTATAATTAATGGCATAGAAGATGATAAAAAAGGAGAAGAGGATGGACGTTTTCAGTAAATCCCCCATACACATTTGTTTTGCAATATGGTGAAATCTTTCCCAGTTAATGTACAATTACATGTTTTTACAATTAATTTACAAGATTGAGATAAAAAGGTTTAACAGTATATATAATTATATATTATTGGGGATATGTCGTGTAAAATTCTTGTAAATATTAATGTTAATTATAGAATGAAGAATGAATACCCTAAGAGAGAG